CCGATGGACTAATTTCTATGAATGTTTAAAATATATTGGTTGACAGATCTATAATTATATTTATAAAATATTACTTAAAAACAAATTTTTACTCTTTATTCCATTGATAAATCCATTTTATTACCAATGTATTCATATAAATTTTCTTACCCAACTTCCATTATAATGCATTGATTTTCTTTCCATTCAAAAAAGTCATATATTTTTATTAGTTGGCTTGGTTAATATTGCAAATTGTTTCCATTCTCGTACTAGTTTTAGTATTATATTAGTTTTATTAGAAAATCTCTCTCATTAGCTTTCATGTTCTTTTGTATTTTAATTACAACTTATTAAGGATTATTGCCCCAATTCTCGGCATTAGCAAGATAAGCTGCACCTTCTGAGCCAGAACCAAGATGTTACTATAGCAGAAATCTCCTATTCTGATATTCTTTTGTTTTAGCTTCTACATAGCAATTTGACAATGAGTGATATTTCATTTCTATTTCTATTAAGATTTATGATAAGCATTATATATTAGTTGGGCCCTAAATCTCTTTCAAAAAATGGTAACCCTATTGTTTTGCAATTCAATATATTATTGATAAGTTGACTCTAATTAAAAGCAATAATTTAGAAGAATTCATTAATTCATAAGAATCTTCAATTATCAATAGATATGAACTGTAATCTAATGAGCATCAAGATGACTCAACATCATTGAAGTCTAAAACTATGGTAAGCTATGAAATTATAAAAGCCTTTCTTAAATCATAGATTTTTTGTTTAATTAATTTAATATCCTCATTATACATTGGAGAAAATAAATTGAAACAATAATCTAGTATCAATACAAAAATCAAAATATTGGGAGAGAATTTGGGGTTTAAATTAAGATGGTCAATATGAAATATTTTTAATCCAATAATAAAGTATATAAATTATGCATTTTTAAGTATTCTCATACATAATATAATAATTTGTATGATTGAATAAAAATAGTTAATAGAAATAAATAAATAATAAATAAATAGAATGTTGAATAGGATAGAAGCAGGTATAAAGAATTTTGTAGATAGAAGATTTGAGGTGATAGGTAATGGTGGAGAAGGGACAGTATATAAATGTAAATGTGTAAATTGGGGAATAAATGATTAAAAACAATTTGCATTGAAATGTCAAAGATTTTTTAAAGATGATGAAATCTAATTTATTGATGATATCATAGTTTATTAGAATCAATTTGAAAATGAAATTCGTTAAGGATAATAGAATTATTAATCATCTGGTTTAATTAGAATATATGAAAGATTCTAAACAAATAATTAATATTTTATCTTAATGGAATTAGGAGAATAAGATTTATATACTTACTTAGAATAATAATAATAGAATTTAACTATTGAATCAAAAATTAAAATTATGATTTAAGTATATTTATATTCAATCATTCATAGATTACTTAATTCATTTCATATCTACATTCCAAAAATTTAATACATAGAGATATTAAACCTGAAAACTTCATTAAAGTCTCCGATCAATTTAAACATATTGATTTTGGATTAACAGAGTAGAATTCAAATATTTTCAAAACAGCTAAAGTTGGAACCCTACTATTTTAGGCTCCTGAGCTTCTTGAAAATAAAACTGATTATGATATTTCTATTGATATATGGTCTCTCGCTTGTGTTTTTTACGAAATTCTTTTTGGCTAAGCTTTGTTTAATGGTATTAATTAAATTTACATCCAAGGTTAATTCAAATTTCTTAAATTAAAGATTAAACATAGGATAGTTAGATGATACACTAAAAGATCTTTTGAAGTAAATGTTAAAATATAATCCTTCGGAAAGGATAACGTTGGATAAGGTTATGTCAATTCTTATTTAATTTAGTAGCCCTAAAAAAAAAAATTAGCAACAACAACAATTTCCAAAATTCCCTATTTAACCAGAGACTAAATTATTCACACCATAAAATTTCCCAAATACAGGAAATACAATTTCTTTATAAATTTCATAATTACGTGAATAGTTTAAAGACTTCAATAATTAATAAGCAGAAAAATCAAAAACAATTGAAAATTTATTATAGTAACTTGTAAATTAAAACGATTAACTTTAATTTCGAATACAAAATTTAGAGTAAAAATTAGATGATTGCACATCTTAAATAAGGAAAAAAGAAAATGGGGACTAGGATTAATATAACTCATTATAAATATAAATTCAAAAATAAGATAATTAATTAAGCATTATGACAAAATAAGAACAAGAAAACAGTATAGTAATTCAAGATTATTAAACGAAAATACAAAATTTGGAATAAATTTTATGCGAAGTGGAAAGAAAGCATGATTCTACAATAAATTATTATTAGGATAAAGTAAACCAACTGGAAATAAAGTTGAAAGAACATAATATTCAAGATACTTACTAATAATTAATTATGGATTAGAAAATAGAAAAATAAGAAATATAATAAAATTAAGAAGAGCAGAAAATTGATTCTAAAAATGAAAATCATATATAGTAGACTGTTAACCTAGAAGAAAAAAATTAAAAAAGAGAAGCTAGATTAATATTGGAGGGAGAAACAAATGAATATTAACAATAAAATAATTAGGATATAAGCAAAAAGTCCTTTGAGAAAAAAAAATCATAAATTGAAGAACTACTGAGTCTATTATAATCTTTAAACCCAGCTACAACGAAATAAAAATATTAAAATATTTCCAAATCATAATCTAATTAGAAAATAACTGAAGTCAGAGAAAAACTCCTTAAAATTTTAGAATAAATTGTAAGTACATAGAGTAAGGGCTAAACTTAGTTAAAAAGATTAAGAGAACTCTGTTTTGATGAAAAAAAATTGGATATTGCTAAAATAAATAATATTATTACTCAGCTTTATTCTGAAATTCAACCTTAATCCTTGATTAATTAGGAGAAGTAAAAAATTTAACCAATAGAGAAGAAAGTTGAAGAGAAACCTCATAAAAAAAATATAAAAACAAGTAAAAAATGATGAAGTAAATTAATATTGGATAATATTTGTTAATAAATAAATCTTTTTGCTTTATAGAGAATTAAAGTTGAATTATTAGATTATAAATTTTCTATCTTTTTAATATGTTGATAATGAAAAAATATTATTTTATAACAATAAAGCCGTTTATCTTATAAATTTATAATAAATTATCTTAATTCAAATTAATAGTCTCTTACTTGATACTTCTTAATATTTTTTAATAAAACCATGTAGATTTAACACTAATGATAAATTTATATATCAATTTAAAAAATTTAACTGTTCTTAAATTTAAGGAAGTATATAGAATTAATTAAACTTGTTGATTGTAATTCAAACTAATTATAATTTTAAGAGATTGTTTTACATGTCAAAAATTAACGGATTGAAAATACTATATTTTCAATAATTATTCTTAATTATAGAATTACAATTTTAAGCTAATTATTATTCATACTTTCTACTTAAAAGATATAATTCAACCTTGAGTTTTATTATGATTTAATCCACTATTAGTTAATAAAAAATTTTATCAAATATTGTTTTATCAAAATATTATCAACAAAAAATAAAAAAAAACTGTTTTATTTTAAATATAACTTGAAAAATTATATAGCGCAGATGTCCTACTTACATGGCACATTGGACTTGTAATTATTAAATACTTCAAAATATCTATTCATATTTAAAGAATGTAGATTAATATTATTTATATTAATACATATAATATTTCTAAATTTATAATCTACTTTCAAATTAATTGCTATCAATTTTTACCAATTTTATCAATGAAAGTAGTTTTAGTGTGCTTTGAAAAATTCATTAACATACATTGAAGTTGTTGATATGGAATCTTTTTTTGGATTTAGTTTTTTATGCTTTTTGATATATTCCCTCTTAACTCTTTTCAGATGTGTTCCAATTCTTATTTAAATCAGAAAATTATTCATTCATTTAATGCTAAACTTATTACTACTTTTCTAACTCATATCTTTGCAATTTTTCATTCAAACTTTTGTCTTTTGTTTATAATTTTTATTTTACTCATTTAAATATTGGTTTTCCCTTTTATATTATTTATTTTCTTAACTGTTTTTTGAAATTAAATTTTGCTTATTTTCTATTTATATTTATGATTCCATTTATTGATTTTAATCCAAGTTTTCTGTAGTGAATTATTATTATTCATTATTTTGACATTATGACTTTTTGTTTTTTTTTGATTCTTCTTTTATTTAATTGTTTAAAATTAAAGATGATATATTCTTCTATATATTAAGTGATTCCTATTATAATTCTTTTATTCTTTAACTTAAATCACTAATTTTTCTAGGGCAGCTTCTAATCATTTTTTTCTTTATCATAATTCTAGACTAAATTTTATTTTTCTTTATTGTAATTCATCTATTCTTACTATAATTTTTTTATTTCTTATTCTTATAATTATACTTTAGTACTCTATAGTTCTCTAATATTTTATAATTCTATTCCTACCTATTTAATCTCTTATTCCTATATTTATTTAGCCACTTATTAATTAATTAAAGTTTATAAGTTCTGAAAATTTTCATTTTATTATTTTATTATTTTAAAATCTAATCTATTGTAATTCATTGTAGTTTTATTAAATAAATTTAGAAATTTCTTAAATCTAATCTTTCAAGAAGGTTACATAGACTACCAAATCTTGTTAAATTATTCTTAATTATCATTTTTGAATTGAATTTCATTAATTTAATTTTATCTAATTTCAAAGTTGCTTTAACTGATTGAATTTAATTTTTATTCCATATATTTAATTGAATCTTGTAATTATTTGATCTCATTATTTGAGCCTTATTGAGATTATTATACATTTTGGTATTTTTATGGTGAGGGATTAAAAATTTAATTATTTTGTTGATTAAATCCATGATGAATAATTTAGTTCGTATCACTTTAGATTAATTAAAATTTATTATTATTGTATTTTTAATTAATACTCTTTAATTTTTCAACAACTACATTGATTGAAATTCTATTTTGATGAAAAGGTTAGAGCATTAGCATTAACAAGTTTTTGAATTCTTCACCTTATCCTGGCAATTATTCTAATTTATTTCAGATAACGATTATCAGTTTTTAAATTTTTAATTATGTTCTTAACTTAAGATTCAGTTTTTCCTTCAATTAAAGGCGATTTAGTTAAAATTTCATAATATACACAACCTAGTGACCATATGTCCACTGCTTATGTGTAATTTTAACTTGTTTCAACAATTTCAGGGATTAAAACAAAGGTGTTCCTTAATTTTATGTCATTAACCTCCCTTAATTTTTCCTGGTTAATCCAAAATCAATAAGTTTAAATTGATCGGAGACTTTAATGAAGTTTTCAGGTTTAATATCTCTATGTATTAAATTTTTGGAATGTAGATATGAAATGAATTAAGTAATCTATGAATGATTGAATATAAATATACTTAAATCATAATTTTAATTTTTGATTCAATAGTTAAATTCTATTATTATTATTCTAAGTAAGTATATAAATCTTATTCTCCTAATTCCATTAAGATAAAATATTAATTATTTGTTTAGAATCTTTCATATATTCTAATTAAACCAGATGATTAATAATTCTATTATCCTTAACGAATTTCATTTTCAAATTGATTCTAATAAACTATGATATCATCAATAAATTAGATTTCATCATCTTTAAAAAATCTTTGACATTTCAATGCAAATTGTTTTTAATCATTTATTCCCCAATTTACACATTTACATTTATATACTGTCCCTTCTCCACCATTACCTATCACCTTTATTATCTCAAATCTTCTATCTACAAATTCTTTATACCTGCTTCTATCCTATTCAACACTCTATTTATTTATTTATTTATTTCTATTAACTATTTTTATTCAATCATAAAAATTATTATATATTATTTATTACGCTAATCATTATAAAGTCTATAAAAATCCACTCTTTCTAACTTAAACCTATTACGAATATTTGTAATCCACAGTCTTTCCTATATTATCTTTTCTTTCAACAACAATTTGCTAAATTAAATTGATAGATTACTTTCACTTTCTCCCTTCTTAATTGATTCTAATTCAGCTTGAGCAAGCATGAATTTTTCCTAGGTTTCATGATACTCTCTATTGAGAATAATGAATTTCTATTTCCAAGTTTCTACTTCCTTAATTGATATTAATAATCAATAAGTACTTTAGAGAGATATGTCAGTTTTCAACAGTTACTTCTTCATGAGTGGTTTACAACTCATCAATATGATGATGAGCATCGTCTAATTCCCCTCTAAGTAGATTAATATCTGCTTATAGTTGAGAAATGATGCCGTCCTATTTTGTAATTTATCTCTTGACATAAATGACTATTGCTATACCTCTCTTTCAACAAGTGTGGTTTACAATGAAACCAAGCTTGAGCTTCTGGACAAATCATTTTTCTAGATTTGAGTCCTGAGCTCAGAAATTGTCCTGTCTTTTTATGCATTGTTCTCATGTTCATGTTCTAATTGCTTTGACCATATGTAATTCTTTTTCTAATTTGGTTATCTAGATAATCCTAGTGATATTTAAACTTATTCAGTGTCTGTCGCAATTTCCTTTACTATTTTTACTTCAGGTTATCTCATTTCCAGTTCAATAATTCCTGTTCTGAGTGCTTCAACTTCTTTATTATTTACTTTCTTCTTCTTTTGCTCTTGACCTGAGGACATGGTTGATAGATTGGTTGTTGGGGCATAAGTAAGAAGGTAGGCAGATGGTAGGTGTACTGACTATATACTTTTTGGTAGATTTGATTCGATATAGGCAAATAGAATTGGCCATCCAAATCATAATTATAAGGCATTTATGGAGTTCCCACTTCGTAGTTCAATTACTCTGTTCCTGGATTCATAAAAATTCTCAGAAATAAAATAAATTAAAATGAAATTAAACGATCAAAATAGCAACAGTCAATTGACTATCTTTCCCTCTGCTTACAATACAAATATGACTGCAGCATACAAATACTTATCAAGGGAGTCAAGTGTAATGAAAAACGATAAATCAATTTTAAAATCTCCATCGTCCAACTAATTATATTGTGCATCAAATAGAGGGAGTGACAAGAAAGTGAGAATTCAAGAATCTGCTTCTAAAGGGTCAATACAATTTAAAAATTCAGCATAATTTGGTCGAACCTCAACTGACTTAATTTAAGTTCCTCCGATGAGAAGTCTTAACAGAGAGGATCGAGAAAAACTAATAGCCACTCTAATTCAATAGGTTAAATAGCAGAATTAATTAATTATACAATTGGAAGATAAAGCCTCACAGTAAGCTGAACAATTAGATGAGTTGAATCTATATAATGAGAAATATGAGCAAAAGGAAAAATGTTATGGAGAGATAATTTAAAATTAAAACAAAATAAATTAAAGAAGTAAAATCATTATAGATATTGATTAGTCCATTAGATAGCAGAGCTCAGGGAATTGGAGTTTAGATAAACAAATGATCATTTAGACATCTTAAATTAGATATACGAGGATGAGGTTGATATGGATATGGCGATTAAATGGAGAAATGCCAGATTGAAATTCAATTTTCTGGATGCATTATCCAAGGCTGCTAAATACTCTAAAAAGTTGAATAAAATTGTATTAAGAAAATAGAATCAAAAATTGAAAGAGTGTTTTAAGGGGTGGAAATATTATATTCAAAATAAATCTTTATTGACTTAATTTAATGAAGTAAGAAATCTAAGGATTGTAATTAATTTCTGGATGAAATGGAAATAATAAATTTAGGATAAAAAAGAGTATTGCAAGAATCTCAAAACAGCAATTCAATTTAATAATCAGAATTTAAAAACAAAATGCTTTGGAAAATTGAAATAGAATTATCTAAAATATAATTTTAGTCTTAAGGACTTTTAGTAAATCACCTAATCTGCTATTGATGAATTTAAGAGAATCAAATTGTTTAAAGTACTAATTGACATTATTCTAGGTTTTCAGTTAGTGGATTCTCTGGATTAAGAAAGAGAATTAGAAATAGTAAATAATATATCAACACATTAATAATGGACGCACTAAAATGATGAAAGGAGTGATCAGATTTTTGAAATAGAATTGTGATTTTCATAAGGAAAGAGCTAATAAAATAGTAAAATAGAGAGTTTAGACGAAAGTATAAAAACTTTTTAATTAATTGAAACAAAATTGGAAATAAAATAAATATAGAGAGAATTAAATCAAGTTAAATAGGAATTTCTTTATTAAGTTTAGACAAGTCAAAAAGTGGATAAGAGAGTATTAAAAGTTATCGAGATTGAATCAGATAAGCATTAAAGTAGTGAAGAAGAGGGAGATCTAATTTTTATAAGGATGTATTGAATTTAATTGATTGTAGTATTTGATGCTTTGAAAAACAATGCTTACTATAGGAAAATGAAGAGATAAAATGAAATATTGTTGAATAAGAAGTATGATAATCGAGTATTGAATTGGGCATTTATGCATTGGTTAAGCAATCTCTTAAAGAAGAAGAATTTATTGGTAAAAGAATAGAATGTAGTCATTTTGAAACAAAAGGATATTGATTATTAGTAATAAAATGATGTATAGAACTTAAAATAAATGTACAATAGTGTCTAATAGGAATTGGGAAGTTAGGAAGAGTAAATCAATAATTATAAAATATTGATATCTAATCAAAAAGAAGTAGAGCATCAGTTGTAAATGCAATAGTATTTAAAAATTGAATAATTAGCGATTATTTGAAATAGGAGTTGGTGTAAACAAAGGATCAATTGGTTCACTATTAGATCAAGGGTGATGAAGTAAGGATTTTGAAAGAGTAGTATACATTAGCTTAATAATAGTTGAAAGAGTTGAGAATGCAAAAAAGATGTATTATTAAATTTCATATGATTAAGTGGGATCTCCAATTAGAAATTTATAGAGTAGCGGGATAAATGGAGAATAGGATCAATTAAGGAAGTAGGTGGAGATCAGTTCTACATTGCTGAACGATCAGAAATAAGAGTATAATTCATTGTAGATGGAATATTCGAAAGTAGTGGGAGATTACGAGAAGAAGATCAAAGACATAGAGAAATACTTTGTGGATTTATGTGACAAATAGAAGTTGTAGATTGAGAGATGTAATTAATCCAATATATGGTAGTGTTGAAAGAGAATCAATCTATTAAAATTGAAAACCAGCAGAATGTTGTTTCTAGGAATAAATTAATGGATGAATTGAATATGATACATGAGTCATTTAGAGAGGAGATTCCACAATAACATCGCACTAATTTTCAGACTCAAGATTCTTATGAATAATAATAGTATGGGTAGAATCAAAGATTAAAGTCAAATTTATATAGTCAGACATCACCAATTTCAGTAAATTAATATTCTCAAAATTCTCCATAAAAATAAGTCTAGATTGAAGATAGGTATGTATAATGTGTTATCATTATCAAGAAGGATAAAAGAAGAAGCATACAATTTAAGAGAAGATATAAAAAGGCGATTGGCTTCTTTAAAGACTCAGATGGATTGCTAATTGTGAATTTGTTATAATATTTTTAATCTATAAATAAATACTAACTATTGAGAAATCCTATCCAATAATTGATGTAGAATTCTCAAACCACAAACATATTATTTGTGAGACATGCTTAATCATCTTAGAATATTAGGTGATACCTTATGTGATTGGTTAGAGAATAGATTAACAGCCAGAGTCATATTCTAAATTAAGGAAAACAACAAGCAAATATATTATTATAATCATTATTACCATTTCGTGATCAATATAAGGAGTGTATGCAACAAATTCGAGATGTGTAAAGAAACTGTTTAAATTAGTTTAGGGTTTCCGAATGACTAACTAATAATTGAAGATTCTTGATTGAGGTTTTTTATAATATTACAGAAGAGATGTAGAATATACTTTTGAGTCCCATCAGTTAGGATTTAAGGCTTAGTAATAAACTTAAGAAAGGGGCAATAAAATTGGGGGTTGAGAAATGTAATTAGAATGGAACCTATTTGATGTTTAACAAGGAGTAAAATAAATCATGATAATTAAAAGGGATTAATATGTAGCATAAATTGTGATTTTGGATTGCAGGATTCATTAGGGAATTGCGATTGTGTAGGTTTGGAATATGATAAGGAGAAAAAATAGATGAAATAAATAATATTCGATTGGGATTTCCATAGGAAGAGAGTTAAATAGAAATATGATTTTGAATTATTTATATAATAAATTTACGTATATAAATATGGATAAATTTGAGTCTTTAAAAGTAGATATAGAGAAAATCTTAGATTCGGATAAAACAGTGCTAATCTTCATTAGACATGGAGAGACGGAAGCTAATTTTACAAAATAACTGAGTGGTTGGCATGATGTCAAGTTGACAGAATTGGGTTGAATTTAGAGTCTATTATAGGTTTAAATGAAGGGAAACAATTATCAAAAGCATTTTAACCATTAAGGGATCGATTTGCAGGGATCTACTGTTCAGATTTAAGCAGAGCAAGAGTGACTGCTGAATTAGCCTTAGGATCAGGAGAAAAGATATAATAAAGTATGGAATTAAGAGAACTTAATTTTGGGGATCATCAGAATAAGGTGTATTCTGAGGACAACAAATGCATCTACGAGATCTTGTTCACTCAGAAATATCAAGCACCCAATGGAGAGAATTGGAATGATGTGAGGAATCGAATAATGAAATACTTGAGATCTCAGATTCATAGTAAGGGGGTCTATTTGATTTTCACTCATGGAGTATGCATCATTATTGTATATTTAAGGGAGCCATCTTCTCTATGACTCATTAATTTGGGTATACGAACACTATAAAGAATTGTTCATGCATTGGTTTGGAGTTGGATATCAATACTCTAGAAATAATGAATTAATTATTTTATTGGGAATTTCCCAATTAGTGAATTACTCGATTTATTTAATATTTACAGATGATAACGATTAATATTTTACTAGTAAAATATTCTGATTAAAAACAACATAAAATAAAGTGATTCATTAATGATCTCCCCCATAAAGTTTCTTAAATTTTTTCAGCCTGTTGCATTCCTATATATTATGATCTTTGCTATAGAAAATCTCCATCTATTTAATGTCTTGATGGTAAACCGAAAAAAACTAAATATAGAACGAAATCACTACATATCCGAAATACGTCTAAGAATCGATGTCAGTGTAACACCCATAGCCTTTGAAATGATTATTTCTGAATTCCCCTTTGAAATAACTAAAATCTGGCCAGGTCATCAAACCTTATCCATGCATCAGTCCTTATTGTACTTATCCACAATATCTAAAAATAGGTTAGTATAATTACCTTCTGCCGTCTGGAAACGTAAACTAACCTCTCCCATCAATTATTCCAGCTTTAAATTAACCTTCATATTTAATTCCATTTTTTCTCGTTTCAATTCCATTACCTGAGAGTCTGTTATCACTCCAATACCCTGAATAACAACAAAAACTACCTCTAACCTCTTTTTTTTTATTTTTAAAAACTCCGAATCCATTCGCTTTATTATCAATTAGATGACCTTCAAAACTAGAAATAGCTTATTAAATTACACATCTCCATTTGAGTAGATCATCCGTGCAGGTCCATTAGCCTTGTCATTCTACCAAAAGCTAACATAACTCCCTTATAGTTACCTTTCCAAATAATTTCCTTCAGTCAACCAATGTTATTTTCCTACTCCATTTCGAATCCCATTTATCACTGAACCATAAAATATAGAACCATCAGAACATAAAAGATATGAGTAGTTAGAAGTATTCGTGTCCATCTATTCTATAGCTTTAAAAGTTCCCAATTCATTTATTTGCTCCTAAACTTCAGGTCTCAATTAACCCAAACTTGTAATTTCTTATCCGATATTACAAAGAGATTAGGAGAAGTCCTCTAAACTACCTTACGTTTTAATATTCTTGTTATCTTCAAATTATATCGAATAGGCATACTTTTATATTGTTCAGCTATATTGATCGATAGTTAAGTGCTTTAAATTGATGTCTTGGAAGTATTACTATTACAAACACAACCCATTTTATAATATGATATATATATTTATCATTTTAAATAAAAATGTAAGACTTATAATAGTCAAGTAAAATTAATTTGATTAATCATGCTCAATTTATTTAATCCTCTTGAAACACTCCTCAATTTAATATTAAACCAACACTTTTCCATCTAATTAATAATTTATTAATATTTCATCCATTAAATTATACTTGCCTGAATTGCAGTTCGCTATCTTTTCATGGCCTAGCTCTACCATTTTTCCTCCATAGGCTTCACTTCTACAAATCCATCAAAAATCAACAATTTTACTTTCTGTGCTTAGACTAACTTAATTATTCAACGAGTACTTAAAATATTTTTTGATACTATTCATTCATTATTCTAGTTGATATACTCTAATAAAATAAGCAATTTTTTCCTCTCCTCCCTTAGTTAGCACAGTCTTCATGATGGCATATCAATGTAAAATAATTATATTTTTTATTATAAAATAAGTTTGGCTTAATTAATATCATTTATTAATCCACACAATTACGTATTTCTAATTTCATTTGTTAATTATTAATAAACCACCTCCTTTCACAGATTTTACGATATGATTATTAATAATTATTTGCTGATTAATCATGACTTAGATGTGATTACTAGTCAACGACCTCCGACAGTCGTAATTGAAGATCAATTTAAATGCCTTAATAATACCAATTTTTCAAGAACTTTTAGAAAAACACAATTACTTCGCAAATTAGACACAAAATAAAACAATACTAACATGATGTCATCGACAAAACTAAAACCAATTACAACATCCCAAAGCCTAATTTGCCTGAGTCTCAAGACACCAATCTATGAAGCAAAGGAGAAAAAATTGGAACTAGCTAATTTAAAAATGGGGAAGAGAATGAAGAGATAAACTGCATGCTAAACAGATTGTTTTGATAATAATATATATTTCAGAAAAACACTCTCCTCTAATTGTAAATATCAAATCACAAATATTTATTAGTCTAATAACCAGGAAAAGCATTTTTCTATGCAACATTGTAAAAATCTAAAATTGACTTTTACAAGGTAGATGGTTAAACAAAATAAAAATGATTATATTTTATAACCCTTATAAAATTCAAAGATTGTCAATAAGCTTTGTTAAGAAGTGAAGCATTTTCGATTCATCTCCTGGATTTATCTTATTTTGTACTAGATCTGCTTATTTAATTTTCCCATCATACAAGATATAGATCTACGGGGCTTGAATTGGAGATGGCAACACTTGGGATTCATTTAAAATATTATATCTAATTGTTAACAAAGCTAATACTTTCTCAAAGTGATGTTTTTAAAGTTCTAAACATTTTTAACTCTATAAGGATTTGGATTGAGGATATTCTAAGCAATTTTATCCAAGGTTTCAGCAACTGTATTACAAGCTGCACATCCTGGCTTATAAAAATAAAGGAAATCAAAGCCTGACAACTCCAAGTTATTCGCAGTTATGGTTTGTAATTTTTCCAAAGGGATCTTAACAAATGTTTTTTCATAGTATTCTTCTCTATAATTATCTTATGGTTCTAAGTTTTATATCTATAATTTGGTTGTTTAAACAATAAATTGTTTTAATCTATTGACAGTTAATTTATCTTCAAAAGAGTATCTCTTACATTATTTGTATTGATCATAATTACTTTCCTACTGTCCTAAATGTACAATATTAAAGGAATTGGTGTAAGTTTGATGTGAATTTAGATCAAATAATCTGACATCATCTGTAATTCCATTATTCACTATTCCAAAATACGACTAGAGTAGATCTATATTATCTGAATAAATGATTCCAAATTTCTATTAGTATTCAGCGTTCATGGATCTCTTTACATTCACCAATTTTCTGATTATCTTTTCCTTTACTTCCTTCTAAGTATGATAAATCATGATATATTGGACACCCATTTGTTTGTAGATGAGCAATTAGGAATCCATTTATTGTTTGTTGAAGACGTAATTGACATAATTATTGGATGTCAAAGTCAATCTTTGTACAAGTTTTTGCAGATTCAATTATTGACCTGCCTACTCCTATGATCCCAAGATATATCCAGAAATGGAATCATATTTCTTCTTTATTCTAAAAGTATCAGCTGTCTCTATATTAGGGTCTGGTTCAATTTTGTTCATGCAATACTCTTTGGCATTGTGAAAGAAGGATGACTCTTTTGAGTTGAAGATGCTGGTCTATTTGAGTACGTAGACTTCTCCTATATCATTCGCAGATAAGTTGAATTCATCAGCCACTGTTTTATCCTTGATGACGTAATACTGAGCCTCTCTATTGTAATCTAGATACCTGAGTTCTCTGAATTGTTCCTCCAATTATTGGGGATCTTTGTAATTACGCTATTTGAATGTGTCAAATTTATTAATTTATTCTTCTGATTTTACTATAGCTTATTAAGGGATGTAACTCAATACAACCTTAGCATCCATTTGATCTATTAGGTTAATGGCCTCTTATTTACTGCTTAGAGTCTATAAGGGAGTCAAAAAATTAAGCAATTTCAAATAGTCTTCCTCTCCTCTTATTTTCAATAGCAGACATCGGTGTTGGTTGACTGCAATCAAATCATAATCATTGAAGGCACCATCATATATACAGAATTTCACAGACAAATGTTTTGGTAGATCTTCGATGATGTCTCTGTTTAGAATGATGATAGTGTTGGTAAAATACTATGGATTTGCTAAGACTGCATTGACATCTTTTTCATTTATGATTTTCATGTTTTGCATAGTAATTTGGGAACATCTGAATTTCTATTGTTAATTATAGACTAGAGCCAAACAAGTTGCAAGTTGTGTGAATTTTAACAATTTAGGTATTAATCTAATTGTTCTAAACATTATAATTATTTTTTAGTTTATATTGAAAAAAACAACAAAATATTATAATTAATTAAACAAGGAACACAAAGGTTATTTGTAATTGAGTTAATCTGAAATTCAAACATAAATAAATGAAACATTTGATTTATGATTCCAAAAAATGACATAGATATTAGAATATAATCGACAAAGATATTAAATTGAATATAAGAAAATGAGACTATCATATAGTTGGCATAGATTGACTAGAAGAGCAAAGATCATTTTTCAAATGTAATAACATAAATCTTGAATGAAAATAAGAAGTGTTTCTCCATAGACCAAATATAATTTAATTTAAAATTAACAAAACTAGTAGTTGGATATATTATTCTTAATCTATTAGTAACTAAAAATCTCTAAGAAATAATCATATATACATTTTACATCATGATTGCCAAACACTCTTAATATTAAATCATAATGTACATATAAATAATTCATATGTTCATTAATTTGTTTATTGTCCTTCAGCTGAAATCAATGCCATCAATTCAACCATCACATCATTTATTGGTGCATAAATTTAATTTTATTTCTCCAAAGAATTTACACAAGAAATTCGAAATATATGCAAAACATTATGTCCAAACTTTTCTTAATCATAATTAGTACTTTATTAACTAGATTCCAATTGATTTTATCAGAATGTGTTTGAATTAATTAGGATAATAATTGCGATTGATGAAACTGGGCCGCTTTCATTATTGGTGATTCTCCTCCCTTGCATTAATATCAATTATACAATTGTTTGAATATTGGGTGATGCCTTTGATTGAATTAAATAATCCACTATTGCAAGATTGCCAATTGCACATGCGAAATGAAGCGGAGTTCTTCCAAGCTAATTTTTACATTACAAATTACTAAGTCCTGTTGATCAATGTCGGCCTTCTAGATTGCCACTAAAAATTGAACCAAATTCAAATTCCCATTGCTTGCTGCCTAATGCAGAGCTGTTATGCCTTGGTTTGTTAAGGCGATATTAACATTAATTTCGATTTTTGGGGAATTAAAAAATTACACTATTTATTCGTTTTTATCTAATATCGATATTTGAAATATACTCTACATGATTGCTAACCAGAGAGCGTACTTAAGCTGATCGACCTATTATCTTTGATTGGCCATAACAAATTAATTTAAATTATTAAAAATAATGCAATTTATCGTTTCAAGGGAACGAATATTATTTGACAAACAATCATATATTTTTGTTTTCAATATTTAAATAAGTGGAAATACATATTAAATTAAAATTAAATTATTTAATTTTTTAATAATGGAAAACAAAGAGTTAGAGTAAGAAATCAAAAAGAAAATAACAAACATCCCACTCAAAGATAGAGCAAAAGTTACAGCTCTCAGATACTATTTAAATAAATGCAAATAAGCTGATACAGACATGGAAACTACTTGTGATAATATCCAATCGAAATATGACAAATTGAGTATGCCCATCTATCAAAGAGTAAGACTCACATATATTACTTTAATTAGGCTGATGAGATTATTTTGGGCACAGCCTAATTGAATGAATAAAACCTTGGTTTGGCAGCTAAATTACTATCAGAGGAAGATTTGCAACAATTCAATCAAGCTCCTAAAGAATCCAAAGCCATTCCTGATTATTGGTTGAAAGTGTTCAAGAATGCCGATTTGTAGGAATTGCCATTATCTGAAAGAGATGCTGAAGCCTTCAAGTTCTTACAGAAAATTGAATTCACATTGGCTGAGAATGATTCAGACTTCTTCCTCAAATTCCACTTTGCAGAAAACCCTTTCTTCAAATAAACCGTTTTGGAGAAGAAGTTCTATTACGAAGACGATGAGTTGACTAAAGTAGAAGCAACTAAAGTTGAATGGCATGATGGAAAGAATTTAACTAAGAAATTAATTAAGAAGGTATTCTAGTTTACTGATAATTTTTTAGAAATAAAGAAATAAGAAGACTGGACAATTTAGAGTAATTTCTAAGGAAGTTGATGACGAGAGTTTCTTCTTGTTTTTCAGATCAATCGATATATCCAATAAGGAGAAGTATGACAAATTACCTGAAGATGAAGTATTCATTTTAATTTAAAGTGTAGTAAATCTCATTGTAAGGTCAATTGGATGTTGACTAGGATGTGGGCAGAGAGATAGTTGATGAATTGTTGCCATATTCTCTTGAATACTTTTTGGGAATAAAGGAATTCAAGACTGAAGATGATGGAGGTGCTGAAGGAGAGGAGGATGATGAAGAAGATGATGAGGAAGTAGAAGTTCCAGCAAAAGGATAAAACAAGGGAAAGGACAAGAAGAAGAAATGATTTATGTATATTAATTTTTTTAATTGTACATTTAATGATGTATTCAATAAATAATTAGTAATTTACATTTTTGTGTTGCTTTTTAATAATAAATTAAATAAATGAGCAGATCGGGAGATTTCCAAAACAAAGTTGAGACCATTATTGAAAATGTATTTGAAATTAATTAATCAACCACTTAGTATCTTTAGAAACATAAGATAATAAACATAAAAAATTCGAATAATCATGCTGATGTACCAATTTCTGAATTTGATCTGCTTGAGAAATAAATGACAAGAAGTAGTATCATAGATGACTTAATTCAAAAAATTTAGGTTTTAGTAGAAGCTAGTAATTATAATGCTAAGATTGAAGTATTTTCATTAATAAATCTACATGTAGATGGACTAAAAGTTTATTAGATTTGAATAAGAAATTACCAATTTAAGATCCATAATTATGATGCAATAGGATTACAATTCTCCTCCTTAATTGTTGATGACTCGCTCTGAAAATAATTCGTTTATTGAAATGAGTGATTCGTTTCTGAATGATGAAAATGCTAGTAATTTTAAGAAAAAAGTCAAAGAAATTCAGGAATAATTCTCAAAGAAAACATAACAACTCGATAATATGCTTGCTTTAGTTATTGATTAATAGTAAAAGTGTTTATAAATGTTAGATTGCAATTAAAACAACAAATTACTCAAAATCCTTCCACAAATCAATCAAATGATTAGTAGGTAGATCTCCATCTTCAAACTGATAAGATATTAGATTTAATCCAACCAAGTAAGAAACTCAGAGTATATTAGAAATTCAATTTTTGAATAAGGAGCATTTTGAGGAAAAATATTAGTAATTTAAAAAAGCAATGGAAGAAATGAAGTAGGGGGCCAAAGAAAAGCAGTCACTATTAATGACCATTGTTGATGAGTGCAAGAGGGATTGTGAAAAAATAGAAAAAAAATTGAATGAACACATTACTTAAGTGAATGCAGATAAGAAAAAATCTTGGATTCCTTTTAAATGATTTATGTTATGTATAAAGTACCACATTTGCTAGATGATTTAAATTCTCAACTTATCTTGAACTAAATGAGCATTTTACTCACATCTTCATAATAATTTAATTAATATGTTTTCTTTGTAAATCATAATTTTTATCACAAAGTATATTCATTAAACATAAATTATATTCGTATCTATAAACTAAGTTAAATAAGGATAATATAAATTGTTTTTTAATAGAATTTGAAAATAATTTGATCAATAATTAATTATGCATCAATGATATTTATTATATGGATAATTAAGAAGAGGTCATCCTCAAATGTTATAAGGATTCCGAAGAAAGAACATTTAAATTAATTAAATATATAGGAGCTGGAAGTGAAGGATTTGTGTCACTTTATAAACCAATAAATTGGTGCTTTGAGGTTGATGAAGTCGCCATCAAATCGTAGTCGACAAATATAAAAAGTTCTGCCATAGATTTTTACAAGAAACTAATGGAACAACAACTTAAAATAGAAAAAAGTTCGGATGAAAAATCACATATTATCAAAATTTATGAACTATGTCAAAATACAAATGAAAAAGGTGAATTAAGTGAATTTTTAGTAATAATGGAAAAAGGAGGAGATGACTTATATAAATATTAAAAACATAATAAACAATTAACCTTTTAATAGAAAGTGTAAATATGCCTATAAGTAAAGTTTTCAGATTATCTTTTAGTTAGCTTAAGGCCTTAAATAATTGCATCAGCTTGACTATATTCACAGAGATATAAAACCTGAGAATTTTGTTCTAGCGAAAGATGGATTTAAGTTAATTGATTTTGGGTTGACAAAATCTATCAATCAAGAATATATGTCGATGAATGTTGGATCAAGATTATTCTAGGCTCCAGAAGTCTTAGTTGGAGACGGTAATTATACTTCTTCAATTGATATCTGGTCATTGGGTTGTACATTCTATGAAGTTTTTTCTGATGATATATTAATAAAAGGTACATTTTTTATTTCAAACTTAGCTTAAAATTATATGGACGCGTTTCTAATAATTCGTAATCACACTGAAAATTAGAAATACCTTTATGGTAAAATTGAAGCATTACAAATTTAATAAGAATGGAAAGATTTAATTAAAGATATGTTACATCCTGAACCAAATAAGAGAATTACTTCTGAGAACCTTGTCCTAAAAATTCAATCCTTATTAAATAAATAAAACAATCAATTCTAACCGACAGTATAGAACATGGATCGTTTCTGCACTCCTCAAAATGGCATGGTCAATCCTCAAACAAATAATTGCATCCCATAAAAGAAAGTGTTTCAGACAATAAATGCATAGACTACTACGCAAAATGAAATACCTCAATTTAATCGCATTTAAACTCCTAATCAAAATATAATAAACAATCTTAATGGAAATTAATTTCATATATAACCTAATTTTATTAGTCCTAGTGGTTCTAATGTTCCAAAAGTACTACAAACTTGTAATCCTTAAATTACAACTCCAACAAATAATAACAATTACATCTAGAAATTTGATTAAAATGCATTTGCCAATAATAAATAAAATGAAATGTATGAAATTTTGAATTAGAGAATTCAGAAACTTGAGAGTGAACTATAAAATGTGAAGTAAGAAATGGTAGATTTAAAAAAAGAAGTAACAGTATTGAAGGATGAAAAAGGGTAACTATTAGATCAGAATACTAAGATGAAAGCTTAATTAAATAAATATGTAAAACAGCAATAAACTTCTCTTATAGAATTTTAACCATTCTTAATTTAAACTCAATAACCATGAAAAAATCAATATGAATTTATTAATAAAAATTTTATTAAGAATTTATTTTCTCGTACATATGGATTTTAGCTTAGGAGTTTTCTAAAATTCAATCCAGAAATCTATGAATATATTTTTAAATGATTGTAAATATTTAATTAATTAATAATAGAGAAGAAAATTCTAATTACATCAATACATTGATCGGGAAAGGGAACTCTCCATTTTTATAAAGGTTTATTAAAGATCATTCACGAATAATACTCCGATAAAACTGATGACTGATATTTTATATTTAATCGAATGTTTTGAAGGAAATGACCCAGAATGATATGGAATTTATTTGACAGGTTAAGAATATTTAATATAGTTTATAAGGAGCTAACTTAAAAACCACTAAGTGGGTTGAAGGCAGTAAAAATTGGATTAACCATACATTTGGTTTAATATGAGTTTTAAATAGGAAAAATAGTAGCTGAGTAAATGATCTCAAGCGATAATAAACTGTAAGTAATTTAGACTCAGAGTTATGGACAATTTGTACAGAATTATTTGATGTAACTATTCAAGTTGGCTTAGAATGTAAAATTATTTTACTCTTGTAAAATTGGATAATACCCAACCTTTGATTAGTAATTCATTTACACTTATGAGACCGAGTCTACTCGAGAGAATCAAATAAACTAGTTTAGAATCTTCAAGAAGTAACTAAACTTTAAAGATACAAATCTACAATATCGAGAATATCAATAGTAGAAGCTGGAAAATAATTTATCCAACAAGATTGGTTACATAACAATAGACTAGAAAATTCTCTATTTATTTAAATTACAAAATTTATTGAATCAATGCATCCAGGTTTTGAATTTGTGTATAGGTGTATGTTAAATAGAAAAATAAGACATCAAAGTATTTCTATACTAATATTAATGAATCTTAGGTGTGCAGAACTGCTTGATTCATTTTAATTCTTGCCATTTTAAAAACAATAATCATTATAATAGGTATATTGGGCTTACCACTAATTCTACAAAGAATAACAAGTGGATATAAAATAATAAAAAGTGCTTTGACAGTTAAAACATTGTCAAGTAGCCATTATGGTTTGAAGAGAATATCCAAATTAATAGAGAAGTATAAAATAGTATAATTGATAGCAAGATTACTACTATTGCAAATTCAATATCTTTATTCTGGAAGAATCTTGAATTAATGGATATAGCCCTTTTTTGGTGGGTCATAAGAAACTGCAGGAATCTATCTCTTAATATACTGAGATGAAGGATCAAAGTTAATAATAGAATAACTAAAAAAACAATAATAGCAAGCGAGGTATCCCATATTTTCAGATTAGTAGATGCAATTGTCTCCAAAGATGTAACAATAACAGATAATAAAATGATTAAAATACTCAATAAATAAATTAATTATGACAACAATCAGACATAATACAATTATTCATATCTAATGTTAAATGAAATAAGAGGCGAGCAATCCTTGACCAAGTTTCATTTCACTAAAGTTTCGTTCTTCGTTGGTGTCTTGTAATTGTTCCATTGTATTTTTGGGTTCAAACAAGGACATGGTATCTTCAAGAGACCAAACTTTGATGAATTCCACATTGTTATTAAATTGTTCTTCTAATTCCTAGGGTATGTTTCTGACTGCGTTCCTCATTTGAATTTGATTATTCCTTTTCTCAATTTTGATCATATTATCAACCTCTATATTGTAAATCTCTTTTAGATACATAGCCCATTGATTATTCTCCAATTTGGATTTGATTTCTTTGATTTAATTGAAGTTCGAATTGGATTTGTAAGAAGACATAACCTATTAACTATACACACTGGTTAATTGAGTTATCTAGCTAACTCTAGTGCTTGAAGTGTATGTTGATAGCATTCTCATTTTATTGTAATCTACTTCAAGTATACTCTATTACTTGGCAGATTGATATTGATAATATGAAACTTACTTAATGACTGATTGATGTGGATGACTGAGGTTTTATGTTTATATATTTTGAGATACGGTTTATTAGTTTTAAGCATTTTATTCTCTTAAAATTTCACAAATGTGATTTTCTAAAAATTAATCATCTCTTTCCATTTTAAATGCATTTTCATCTGGTTCATTTAATTGTAATGATTGAACATTTCGTCCTATGATTTTGGATTCAAGAATGTTATCCTCAAAATTATGATTAGTTTAGTCTGCAATGTCTTAGCAAGAGAGTACATGTTATCGGAGATTGATTTTCACTTTATCATACAGATACTCAATTCCTTTGGGTAACAAACACACTTGTACAGTCCATTGATTCAGGATTTCTTGCATGTATTTGGAATCGGCTTTGCAATATGATATATGATATGAATACCTATGATGTAATCTTTGAACACTTAATAGTCATTGGATAACTGTTCAGATGCCTTTTAATAGAATTCATTGGCTTATGAGATTGCAATGTTCAGTATATTTCCATAAAGAGATCCCACTTTAACATTTGAATGGCCAATCCAATTGATACTTTATTCATGCAATGATAAATCCAGAATATTGGATGTGAATTTATTTAATAAGTAATTTACAGCACTTGAACAGTATTTAAAATAATCGTCATCGTTGAATTTTTAACCAATGACTTACTGTTCATTTGTGAAATGATCTTTCATAAAGAAACCTAATAGGATCATTCTTTTTTATTTCAAGAGGGTTTCATATGAAAGAAACAATTCATTCTCAATGGGATCCACTTAGGAACTTCTAGTACCTTTAATAACAATCTAAGACCACAATCTTGCAAGAGCACTAGTAAATGTGACTTTAGGGAAAGAAGTAGTAAAATATACCTCAAATAGCAAGTCGATTTTATTGAATATTTTCTTCAAGGCTCTATTCAAGGCCCACATCATGCCAATATAAGATTCCCATAAAATAGTGTACATATTGAGAAACATGGCTGGATTTTTTTCCATTTTAGTAATCATCAAAACATTTCTACTAAATAGACACCTCTGATAAATGAAGTTGAATATTTAGAGCAGGAATCTCAATAATAGGGGTATATTTTCAGAATCTAATATGGTGGGATCCTTAAGGAAGTTATCGATTACAACCCATCTCAATTCAAATAATAGTTAGGTGTGTTTCATGTTGGTGACATCAAATTTATGCAAACAGTCCTAATAAATTTTTTCTGTTAATTCATCAAGTGAGGGAACTTTCTCAACAATTGTATAATCATTGGTTCTTTAGGCCAACTCCAATTGGAACCAGCTGGTTGTGCATTGTTTGAGAATATCATCTGTCAATAGAGGGATGGGCATAACTGGATTATGACAGATTTCCAAGATCCTATCAACCAGTGGATAATTGACTTTGAAGGTCTTTTAGATCTCATTTTCTGTGATTCTCATTTATTGTCTAATTGATAATCATTAAGTGGTACATGCTTCTCTGGAAACTTAGGTATATCCTGATCCAGGATTCGTCTTAGTTGGTTTCGATACATAACAATTAAGAGTGGTATACGGAAAGAAATCTCTAATGTAATCCATATTCTACAAAACATCGGAGCTGGAGCTTTCGTAAATAGAATTAAGTGAGATAGTTTGAGTAGATGCTGCTGCTCATTTCTACCATGAATTTTAGTTTTTTGTTCACTAGTTTAAGTTATAAGCATTCTCGAATTGTCAAGAAATTTAAGAAATACTGTAGAATTTTAATGGGGTAATTAGGCATCTCTTCCTCACTCATCTTTCTAAAATATCTGCATTTCATAATACGTCAGGATATCTTGACTTTATAATTTCATGCTTTCAGATAGGCTTTTTCCTAGCTTTGAACTCTCTTTTGATTCTTTTGATGCCAATTGACTCATACACAATCCCATCAGATAATCTCGTTTTCTGAGTTTCTTCTTTTCCTATTACGCCTATTGTTGACTCTAGTTTGCTCCCATTTAATTTAATTGATTGTATTATATAACTATCTATTTAAATACTCTTTAACTCTAAAATCCATATGGAAAACCTTTAACAAAACAACATTATTATCTCCCCAACAATCAATCCTTATTTACTAACAAAAGACTATATATTTAATTTTATAATCATTAAATGGATCAAGCCGATATGATAAATGATGAAGAGTAATCGCCACTTCACATTAAACGAGAACTGGATATCGATATACCTTACAGAGTGGCATTTCCGATATGTTACAATCAATAATAGAAGGACACTCCAAAAACAGCCATGAGAACAATTGAACATTTGGAAATCGATGAAGTGCAAATACAAACAGAAACCACTCCTAAAACTCAAATTGACATTTCCTCTCCTCGAGTTCTCTTCTTGACTCATTCACAAATTATGGGCTTGAATCAAGAAGAAGATGAAGTGCCTTTTAACAGATCTGCCTTAAACAATCCACTCTCTGAAATTCCTGAGGAACTCACACCCAGTAATTTACCTAATGTATTTGATTTGAGTCTATTCAAGCAATCTAAGGTATCCAATCAAGATGTCATCATTGATAATATGAGTATAGTTAATAGTTAGTAGTTGAAATTTAGTAAGAAATCTTCAGAAACTTAAGTGATATCAAATATCAACATGGAGGGCAGCAAATTGAAAGAAGAAGTATGTTCATCATCTCATAACAATAGTTAAAAGAACAAATAAGTATTCTGGAATGTAAAATCCAAGAATTAGAAAAAGAAAATTTCATTCTTAAAAAGAGATCGAATCAAGAGAAAGTCAGATATATTGAGTTGTAAATGGAAACTGAATATAGGATAGCATCTTTGAATGAACAATTTCAAGATTAGGAGATTAATTATAAAAAATAGATTGCCATCCTCAAAAATGATCTCAATACTGCCAAATTATAAATCAATATAATCAAATAATAGATTCCCCATCACGACACTCAAGGGTTATAATTGTCTTAATCCTAAATTCAATTCCCATACCATCCATCTTAATAATAACCCTACTAGTATTATAATAAGCAATCCACCTTATCCTAGTCATTTACTGAATAACTAAGCAAACACTCAAAAGATCAATGTCTTACTTAAATATAATATGATGTAGTCAACTCTAAATTGATCAAAATTATCAAGAAGATCGATTCACAGATTGAAATTAGCAAAATGGATTTATTTGATCTCCTTTAAATACTCGAAGAAAAAGTCAAATAGATGATGAACATTGAAGAAGAGGAGAAAATGGACGAACATCGAACCTTGCTGTCCACATTGAAAACAGAATTGGGACAAATCAAACAAATTAGAGGTTAATTATCCAGAATATTCTACGATCATAATCAATTTATCCATAAGAAAAATAGTGATAATCAAAACGATTAAAGGATTAATGACTTGAATCTCTAAATCTTAGGATTTAAGTAAGAGAAATTAGAGTTAATTGAAATGACCTAAAAACAATAGATTGAAATCAATTAGCAGAATCAACTAATTGTTGAATTGTAACAGAAATTAAGTAAGATGTTTCTACATACATAAAATTAGATAATTCATCATAGACAGACACCCAAAGAATCCAGTCTTAATTTATTCGCTCCCTCCAAACTAACTCTGTGGCTGACATCAAGAATATCAAGGAATAAGTTAAACAACGATAGGAGAGTATCAAGTAATAATACTAAATAAACAATCATTAGAAAAAACTTTAAATCCCAAAACTCCCCTTAGAGCAGATCTGAGAATGCCTCCCCGTAATTGAAATTCCTCAATTCTCCAAAGTACATATATAGTTGACATTAGAAATTCGAAACACTCCTCCACCTATTAAAAACAGCAATAGAATGATAAAAAATACCAATTCTATAATCGAACCTCGGACTTCAGTGTTGACAATAATAATTCAACTCATTAAGCAACTACCCAGAATATTAACAATAGTATGCATTCAAGTGGTGAGATCATTTAGAAACTTGTTGATCAATTCAGAGGAAATTCGATATTAGCATAAAAAATCTCAGGCTATTCAAAAAAGAATTGAAACATATATCGAAATTTTTGTTTACTAATTTGTAGATTGCCTTTATTCATCAATAGAATTATTATTATAAAATCATTTTGATATTAAAATCAATAATAAATGAAAAGACCAATCTAGATATTGCCAATTAATATCCCTGGTAGAGACGCTCCCATTGTATTGGAAATAGGTGAAACTGATTTATTCCATTTCCAAGCCAAAAAAATAGTTGCTGGTTATTTAATTCATATATCAATTAGGGTAGCTAAAAAATTATAGTCAAGATGAATTCGTATTTTATTCGAGAAGTAAGAATTTAGTAGTCCATGAAGACGATAGAGTATCAAAGTAAAATTTGTGTGTTGATCAATTAGACTCTTCTTAAGTAAAGAATAAAATGAAATCGAATTGTATTTGACATCCAATTTAATCAAGAAGGCTGTGTTGGGAGAATAAGGCAATTAATAAATAGGGGGACAGTTTTAGAATAACTACGAAAGTGAAATATAGGAATTGAAAAAGGAAATTAAAAACTTATAAGCCAAACTTCAAGAATACAAATCTGCCAATAAAATGTCAATCTATAATAACGAAGAGAAAGAACTACGAGATTAATTAGGATAAATGAAAAAGGAGTTTGACGACAGATTAAAAGTCGAGGAAGAATACAGAGCTAATATAATTAAAAAGTATAATGAGAGTTAGAATGCCTAGACCGAATAAAAGAAAGAACTTTTGTAAAAAGAAAAACATATTGAAGAATTAAAATATCAATAAAGGCTAATGGAGGCTGAGAAGAAATTCTTGGAAGAGCAAAATAAAAAGGAAATTTTATTAAGTATCCAATCACAAGGTGGCAATAATTTGAATAATTAATTGGCTGAAATTAGGTTTGAATTTGAAAAAGTAAAGGCACTATACTAAGAAGAGTAGTTTGAAAGAACCAAAGATAAAGAAATTATTTCTTAATAGTAAAAGAAATTACAAAAGCTTGAAACCAAATTATAAAAAGAGATTGAGGAATTACAATAAGGAAGATTTTTATCCTAATCTGAAATATCAAAGTTGAAATAGGAATTAACAAGTGTTAATGAAAAATGTTATAATTATAAATGCGAAATTTAAAAATAAAAAGTAGAAATTGATAGATTCGTTTAAACCTTAGAGTTAGGTAAATAAAAAATTGGTTAATTGGAGAAAGAGTTGAATATCTCTAATGCAGAAATCAATAACCTAAAGAGAAGTGAGGAGGAGAAAATTAATGAAATTAGAAGGAAAGAAGTACTTGTAAATGAAATTAAAAATTCAAAAGATGTATAATAAACTATAAGGGTTAACTTGGAATAAGAAAAATCAGATTTACAAAAATAATTACAAACAAAAACAGATAGGTGCAGATAGTTAGAATAGGAAAATGCGCTAAAATCAGCTGATATTAAACATTTAGAAAGTAGATTATAAGAAGAAATTAATGCAAAAAATGATAACATTTAGAAAGCAAAAATATAAAAAGAGGATTTAGTTAATCGCTTGTAAAAAGAATAGGATAATTTAAAAGCTGAAAAGGAAGCTAAGAATAAATTAGTTGAGAGAATCAAAGAAAATGCATTATTAAAAGCAAAAGATGAAAAAATTATTTCCCCTACCGAGGCTCTTTTAAGAAATATACCAAATCCACTATAATTTTTAAAGATCGAAAATATAATGACAAAAGATTTAGTTGCCGTAGTTGAAATAATTAAAGTGGATAAAAAAAAAGCAATAGAGAGTTTAACTAAGTAAAATCCTAAAATATCTTAATTTATAACAAGAGAACGTGTTGGAAATTGGGAATTCAAATAAAGCATAGCAATTGTAATAATTATATTAATTATCTTAGAATGGGGATGGTACTAAAAGAAAAGGATTTCTGATGTAAATTACTGGAAGTGAAGAAAATCGTTATAATGATAAGGTTTTCTTAATTAAAGAATTGATTGGGTTTGAGAAAATAGTTTCAAGTGACAAAGCTCTTTATGTTGCTCAAAATACCTTAATAGCTAAAGTATTAGCCGAGCACTTTTAAGATAGAATTCATGGTGTTTCTAAAATATTCCCCTAGAGATTTTCTTACAACGAACTCTTTTTATTAAATATAGAAGACAGTATGAAAAAAAATTATTTCATTTAGAATATTATATTGCTGAATAAGTGCAAGAAGGAAGGTTTATCAAATTCAATGGAAAAGGCGAATCTCACCTTTCAGACAAGGAATAATATCTAAAAAGTTATTTTTATGCTTTTTCAATTTTCACTTATTTTGTGACTCAAAAAATGCTGATGGTGACAAACATCCAAGGATTCTAAATAGGTTCAGAATATATATTGTGTGACCCAATCGTTTCCTCGCCTGAGGGTCTAATGGGAGATGAAGATTTAGCTGAATAACATATCTTAGAATTTGAATAAAACTACTAGAGTAACCCAAAAAAGTATGGGAAAGAGTTTTTATAAATTTTAGGATATTGAGTTTAATTTGATTACGAAGATTAATCAATATTATTATAAAAATATTTTATTTTATAAATTAAGTAACTTTAAATAAGAAAATTAGTCTTTTGAAAAGCTTAATTCAAGAGTAGATAATAGAACCAAAAATATAAAATAATTAAGTTACCAATTAATTAGAATATGATATATGTAGATGAATATGTATTCTTAAAGAACTCCATAAAATAATAAATTATATTACAAAATTTACTTAACTGTAGAAAAAATAATTATTAAAAAAAAAAACACTAAAGATATTACATTTCTCAAGTTAATCTTCAATTTACTTTCTAGGAAATATAAAGAGTGATTAATTACTTAGGATCTATCTTCGACACATAAAGACTGTCAAATGATAAGATTCATAAGTAAATAATAATACAAATTGTTTATTCATAATTCTATTTTATTATAATACTGTTTATATAGATGATATGTAAGTAATAAAAAATAAATTATTATTTTACTTTTCTGTAAAGAAGTATTCGAATTAAATGTACAAATTATTACGTGACAAATCTTAGATAGCACCAATGCCCTATTTAGTGCTTGTGACTAGGGTTATGAAAATGTTAGTGTGAGTAGAGGCTATACTTATTAATAATATATAAAAATTAAACAAATGTTTATTTTTTCTGGTTAGATTAATAATGATAACTTTATTAATTAAATTCAAAAACGAAAGTTATTTTGGAATGAGTAGATAATTTTAAAGTTAAATACAAATTTGTAGTCAAGTATATTGTTTTTAATAAACCTTATATTTTTGGTGCATTACATTAACTAAAAAGAAAGTGAACCTAGATATTTATTGTTATTTAGTAGTTGATTTACCTAGTTTAAGGTATTAATTATGTTCTCTAATTAATTAATATTTTGAATCCCATCATTTTTGGGTACGACTTAACAACAATTATATACATCAGAATGATTAGTTAAGGAAATAATTAAGTAGTTGAACCACAAGTAGATCTAAAACACCACAATAAGAAGTATTGGAGCTCTGAAGAAGATACAAAATTGTACTCTGCTGTAATTTTGCATGGATCTAATTGGAAGGTCATTGCAGAATATCTATCTGGGAGAAATGCCTCACAGTGTGCATAAAGATGGAAGAGAATCAAGCCTAAAGAAGTAAATACATATATTAAATATTATAGAATGAAAGAAATTAGAAGTGGAGTAAAGAGGAAGACGAAGAAGTACTGAGACTTACCAAGAATTACTAGTATAATTGGAGAGCAATCGCTCATCACATCCCAAATAGAACTGGTAGATAAATTAGAGAGAGATTTGTCAACCATTTAGATCCAAGTATTATTAAATCACCTTGGACTGAAGAAGAAGATAAATGGATCTGGAATATGTATTAGAATATTGGTACCAAATGGTCAGATATGTCCAAAAAGTTGCCAGGAAGACCTGTAAACATAAATTCAATACTAAATTTAGGAAAATATGATAAAAAACAGATTTTATTCTTATATTCGAAAATAATATGGGAAAATACAAAACCCTTATTATGTAGTACCAAACAATGTGAGAGTATTAGAGAAGGACTCGATGAGGAAGAGTAAGATCATAAGAAAAATGAAAATGTTTAGGAGGTTTTGTTAATAAAAAAATATAAAAGAAATTAACAAAACTAAAGATTAATATAAAATTTAGAGTGAATTAAAAGTTGAATAGGATTAATATCCAATAAGGAAAGACCTCCTTAGATATGGATATTAATAATAATAACTCTAATCTTACTATCCTTTAATGCCCACAGAATTTTAATAATTACAATTCCCTCAAATTATTTATCCTTACTAATTTGTATCAACTTCTAATATTGGATCTGAATTTTATGGCATAATAAACTAATAAGATATGTTGAATTGCCAAAAAGAATAGATAAATTAATCAACATTTTCTGAAATGACCAAGTCGTAAAATAATGAAATGACAGCCTTACCAACTTTGAATCTATCACTTATTGGATTTTAATAAATTTAAAAAAATTAAATAGTCACTAAAGAAGAAGAACAGGATAATGAAAATCCACAAACTTAAAAAAGGCTACTTGATACATCCTACCCTCTTTAAATTAGACCTGATATCTTAGAAGAGTTACACAAAAAGAATTTAGAAGCTTAAATTAAATAATGAATATATATATATATATCGATTTTGGTTTCTTGTAAAGATCATATTCCTACTTTGGATTTAACGTATTATTCAAAGCTTGGTTAAGTTAATAAGCCGAGTGCTTACTTACTGATTTCAATTTCTTTATTGTATTCAGCAACAGTTCTGTTGTAGAGATCGGTTTCTGCAGCATAGTTATCGTTTTCAGCTTGCAATTGAGCTTACAGAGTAGCTCTATCATCTTTTCTTTATCCAACATAAACAATGGTTTCTCCTAGTTTTTCTATTGCATTAAACAAATAGATTACATTCATTTGCAGCGAGTTCTGAATTTTTGATTAGAACTGCTCTTTGGAATTCAGCAAATTCCTTTTCTAATTAAGCAACTCTTTCAGTGAATTTAGATTCAGCAGCACTTTCATCAGCAGTCTCTTGATTTAAAGTATCAACAAATTGAACTCTGAGTTCATTGAAAATTTTGACCAATTATTACACAGATCCTTGATCAGCAAAGCTTTGTTCAGTTGCCAATTCAAGTAAAGCTTTGATGATGGGGGCAAATGAAGAGTGATTTTAGAAAGATGTTTAGATTCTACCCAAGTTCGATTAAACTCTCTTGAATTACACAAGAGATGGGTTAGTAATCTAAGATAAAAGTCCTAAGGATTCATCAACTGCACCTATAGCTTCATTGATTTCAGCAATATTTGATAAGAACTATTCGTGTTATTTCTTTCTGTTGACTGTTTCTTAATCAAGTATTCTTCTATTTTCTTCAATATTGGTTTTCAATTAAGCCAAAGCATCTTGGAATCTTTGCTTTTAGGGAATGAGAACATTATCGATGAAATCTTCACCATTGAAAATGTCTAATGATATTAAAAATGATAACCTCTATCTGCATCTTAAATCTCTTATTCATATCTTGTTACATCTCTATTGTGTTCATCTGTTCTTCTAGAATAAGAATGATTAATGTCGTCTAATTCTTCTTCTAATTAGTCAATCAATTAATTGATGGCTTCAACCAATTCTTTCAAAGCACCTCCACTTCCCAATTCTACTTCTGCAAACTCTAAAATAAAAGAGGCCCATTTAGATTCTCTCAATTTATTCATCACTTCTTCTTAGTGTCTTTCCATATTGAGTTCTACACTCAATACACTCAATACTAAACAAACCAATATTCCTGTTCTCATTTATTTTAAATAATAAAAACGAATATTCACAATTATTCATTAAAGGTGAATAACCATTATTATTTCAATCTTTGTAACCATCCAATACAAAAATTCTCAATTTAATATAATTTGTTATCCATTCTCTTACATTTTCAAGTCTCTGTTTTGATATCTTCATTTCCGTTTACAATGAATTCTAACTTCAATCTTAAAAATCTATTTGTGAAACAGTACCAAATCTCACTCTTATAAATATAACCATTAGTTATCATCCCACATTCTCTACTTATACTATTCCTTTCTTAGCATAAACTATTTTCATTGTTTTTCAGAGCACTTTCTACATTCTCAGATAGAATTCCATTTTATAAGTCATAAATTTATTTGATTTCAGATTAATTATAATAAATTAAAATCATGAAACTAATCAAAATTTATTCTAAATTACTTTTATAACTTTGTATACAAAATTATTTACTTTTCAATTATTCTTCTCCTCTTTTATGTTTTAATTCAGGGAACAGAAAAGCAATATAGGAAAGATCTATCAAAAAATCCTATTTAAATTAAGATCTCTCAGGATAACAAAAGAATGAAAATAAATAATATTTATATTAGATGAAAAAGATATCAAAATAGAAATAATTAAAATCAGTAGTAAAATTAATTTTGAATCGTATTCTAGCAAACTGAATTAGGGTTATTCATAGAATTGATTCACTGAGTAATTTATAATTAAGTTTTAAAATAATTAGACTAAATTGGTGAGAAAAATAACATTAAATTATAAATCATATTAAAAAGGTTTGTTAGTTTTATTTGAGTATGAAACTTCATACAAATTGAAGTATATGAAATTTAAAGATTAAACAAATAAATAAGGTTGCTTAATCATTTTATCAATAAAAAATCAAACATAATCCTAGTTTGCTCATCAATATAATAATCGTTCTTACTAAGCTTATGAATTTTATATTAAAAAGAATACCCGCTATAACTCTAATATTTAATAGAAAAAACTTGGAAACAATATTTATGAAACGAAGCATGTAAATTTACCATATAAATATAATTAATCTCAAAATAGTTTATATAATTTTCATAATTAAATAAAATTTGACATCTCTAAATGAGCAATGCATTTAAATAGGCTGGAAACACTCTCTCAAAGGGTAATGATTTAGGATAGACTGGACAGAGCTTCGCAGGATCTCAGAATCCAGCATCGTTGAAAGGGAAACTAATGAGTTTAGAAGTAATGAAACTGATACCATATTTTTTAATAGGAGACAATCAAAGGCATTTAAGATGAGATGAACTTTCATAAGAAAGAAGTCTAGATCTTAAAATCTGAGAAGGACACACTTGAATCAGTTTTAAGTATGAAAACCTAAGATGTCAAAAAAACATTAACTAATGAATTAATGAGAATTGAGGAGGAAATGAAACGGTATCACAATTTAATAAAGTAGACATTTCGCCCATCAAAAAGCAGAGAATTCTAGATTATAATAATAAATTACTGCTCTAAAAGGAGAAAAAACTGCTCTTCAATAATAACTACTTGGGCTTTAAAGAAGAATCGCAGAACTAGAACTCCAAGTGGGATAAGAGTAGGCATGATTATTTGTCATTATCATAATATATACATTTTTATAATCTAAGTATATTTCCAGACAGAGAGAATTAGAATGTATAAATATTTATAATATGATATCATATGATCAATATCTGAAATTCTTATCAATTTAGATGCAAGCATCTTCCAATAATTTCAACAATGCTTCATTTATACTTTCTCTTTCCCTCCTCTCAAAATTAATGTCTTATTATAATTTGCCATGCACATCTTCTATCATTCTGAAGATCTTTCCCTAGGTTTCCTCTCTAACTTTCTTCTCGATCAACAACTGATCTGAGAACTTATTAATATCTGAATCAATTTGAACACTCAAACTTTCTGACGATTCTTCTCTAAAGATATCAAAACAGAAATCAAGTACCTTGATCTTCTCTCTTAATCCAATTCATTTTTAACCAATTATATTTATTAAAGCACTTCTGCAATTTTAGCTTAACTTCTGTCTTCATATTAGTGATTATTCCTAGTTATTGTCAATGTGATCTAAGTGAATCTCTCAACAATTTGTTTTTGCAATTTAGTTTCTCCTTACCCTCTAATATTCCTCTCTTAATCAAATGATAGAGCTAAGTTGTCTGATAGAGTTCTAAAGTCTCTCTCTTTTTTATCATCGAAAGCCTATACGCTACAAGTGTATTGTTACATCTCCTTCTGCCTTTTGGTTATGGGCATAATCTTATAATTTAAGGACTTGATCCTTCAAAACCTTGAATTTCTATTCGTCTTTCGGCTTTTCAGAAGAGAGAACATCTTCAATAATTTTAATTCTTTCCTCTAAGACTTCTCTCTTCTCCAATTTGTCCTTATCTATTCCATTCTAGATGTGATTCCATTTATCAGAAACAAGTTTAATTCTTTGTCTAGAGGGCGAGTCAAGATCTTAACTCAAATAATTAACTTTTGATCTTTAGAGACTAGACAATTATGATCTTTGAAGTTTTGATGTTGATAGCTTTGAAGTCGACAATAACATACAAGGATATTTGCAAAATAAGTTTATTTCTGTATATAATACCTCAATTCTTTTATTGATGTATTCATCCTTCAACTATTTGAACAAGCATTATTTATGAAATCATAGCATAAATTCGATTTTTAAGTCAAATATTCATATTTATATTAAACTATTTATTCTTCATTTAATATTTCCTCTAAAACAAAATGTAATAGACTTAATAAAATTGGTAAGGAAAACAAATAAATGCAGCAACAACAGACAATCCTAACAGAAACTATAAGATAGAGAGTGTCTTAGGATCAGGCTCCTAAGGCTCAGTCTATTTAGGCAAACACATTATGAACTCTTTCTAACAAAATAATGTCGCAATTAAAATCCAATAATTTATGAGCGAATAAGAAATTCAATTTTTAAAGAGCTTAATTCAATATCAAAAACAATATGAAAACAACAAACAAAATGCACAAAGTTATAATCCTTCATAGATAGTAAAAATATTTGACTTCTTTCAATATAATGAATTTTGGATTATAGTTATGGAATTAGGCACATAAGATCTTTACAAATTTATTTCATAGAAACAATAGCTCCCAATTTAATAATTAGGATAGGTTTTAAAATAAGTAACTTTTATTTCTATTTAAAATAGATTACGAAATCTATTGCATTTTTACACGAAAACTAACTGTTACATCGAGACATTAAGCCGGAAAATTACATTTTAATTGGGGATGAATATAAATTAATTGATTTTGGCTTGGTCACCACTCAATTTAGATCCAAAACTACTAATGTTGGAACTGTGTTATATTAAGCACCTGAACTTATTACTAACGAAAATAATTACACATAAACTATTGATATTTGGTCGTTAGGGTGCTTATTTTATGAAATATTGTCTGGATAAACTTTGATTTATGGAGTTAATTAAGACTAAGTATAAAAAATGATTTTGGCTCATAGATAAGATTGTAATGCAATTAATCTAAGAATAAATTCATTAAGTTGCAACAAAGAGATAAAAGACATGATTATTCGTATGCTGGATCCTAATCCTCCTAATCGATTATAATGTCAATAAGTTATGGAAATTTTAGATTCCAAATTTTGTTTATAAAAGTTTCCAATAATTAATAATTTTCAACCATAAGTAAATATCATGAAAGCCTAATATAATTAATTCCCCATTGTTCAATATTAACAAACACAATAATAATAACAAGGAATTCCAATGTAATTTAATCAATAAAACTAATAATTATCCTCACATTCATAATCGCTAGTGGAAATATAAAAATAACTGGCATTATAGTAAACCTTATTAGAAAGCATTACAACTAATTTTACTCTCCTTGGCGCAATAGTATAGGATTCCAAATAAATAATGAATGAAATTTAAAAAGGGTAAGAGTAATAAAAATTTGAAATTAATCAAATTAAAAATGATTTAAAAGCTGAAATTCAAAATATTTTTGTTGATAAATTAGAGTCTTATTAAAATAATATCATTTCTAAATTAGATAAATTTTAAGAAGAACAACAAGTAACAATGATTGATTAATAACAAGAGTTACTTTTTTAAAACAAAGATTTCATTATATAAATTTAATAGTCTATTACTAATTCATTATAGGTTTAAGAGGAATTTTAAAAACTAATTAAGGAATCTTTGAATAATCAAGAATAATTAAAAATATTAAGTAAAGAATCTTTGGATAATCAAGAATAATTAAAAATAATAAGTAAAGAATCTTTGGATAATCAAGAATAATTAAAAATATTAAGTAAAGAATCTTTGGATAAGCAAGAATAATTAAAAATATTAAGTAAAGAATCTTTGGATAATCAAGAATAATTAAAAATATTAAGTAAAGAATCTTTGGATAATCAAGAATAATTAAAAATATTAAGTAAAGAATCTTTGGATAATCAAGAATAATTAAAAATATTAAGTAAAGAATCTTTGGATAAGCAAGAATAATTAAAAATAATAAGTAAAGAATCTTTGGATAATCAAGAATAATTAAAAATAATAAGTAAAGAATCTTTGGATAATCAAGAATAATTAAAAATATTAAGTAAAGAATCTTTGGATAAGCAAGAATAATTAAAAATAATAAGTAAAGAATCTTTGGATAATCAAGAATAATTAAAAATAATAAGTAAAGAATCTTTGGATAATCAAGAATAATTAAAAATATTAAGTAAAGAATCTTTGGATAAGCAAGAATAATAAATAATAATTAGTAAATTATCTTTGGAGGATAACTCTAAAGAACTAAAAGAATATAATGAAAAGCTAAACTAAAATTATGATTAGATTTAAAAAGAAATATAATAAATTACAAAACAACTTCAACTAAGTCAGCATCTAGATAATTTTAACCCAAAAAGTGAAGAAAATATAAAATAGGAGAAGTTAAATTAATAATAAAATCAAAATAATCATCCTCCTATATATAATCAGGATCGCGAGCTAACTTATATTCCATCATTATCACAATAAAAATTACTACTAGGTACTAAAACATTCTAACAGATAAACAATAATAAAAAAAAAAAAAACAAATATCAAGTAGAAAACAATAATAATTAAGATGATGAAACTCAAAAGAATTGAATAGATATTCCAATAAAATCTGTTATCTCAAAAACAATGAGTATTTTCAAAAATAATGTAAATAATAAAGTATTACTCAAAATCAAATATATTATAATTCACGATTTTATTATATTTTTTAAGCAACCTTTAATGCAGTCTCTTGCAAATGGAATATAGCTTGCCACATACCATGTATAAGAACAGAACTCAGTCAATAAAAATATCAAAACCAAAAGTTTTGATTTAAATAAATAAACTGAAAGAAAGATCATTACTAGAGAGGAAGCAAAGATAATCGATGTCATTTATCTTTCTTTGTCAATCATATTTTCAAATTATTTCTTGAATCCTATTAAAAAGGCTGTTCTAATATAATTGATATTCAGCATTACCCAAACAATGCCAAAATGTTTCCTAAACTATATGTAAGTGCAAATTTGTTTGGACTGCCACCCAAAATTCCAATAAAGGATCCAAAACTTAATATTTGGATGAAGTATCCTTATCTATTAAAATGCATTCCTTACCTAAAATAGAGCAGAATGCAAATCCCATTAATCTTTCCTTATAAGAGAGTGAAGGAAAGAGACTTTCATTTTCATTTTTTGGTTTCATAGGTCCGCTAATATCAAATATCTACATCATTTTTTATTTATGTAAATTAATATTAAGCTTTTAACAAAATCAGGATGCACTTTGTGTTAAAAACCAATTTTCATTCTCAAAAGATTGAAAACTCATTATGAGAGTCATCTGAGAATATTATCCATCAATATTGACAACAGAAAAGAATATGAATAATACATAAACAAAGTGCCTGTAATTTTAATCAATGACAAGCCAATTTGCGAAATGAAAATATATGAGGGCTTGATTAGATCAGAAATAGAGAATATACTGTAAAAAAAATGAATTATTATGTATAAAATAATTGTAAATCCTCTTATAATCCTATCTTTTAGAAATAAATTCCAATATCGTTGTGTTTTTTAATTGAAATTTTTCTGTCTTATTTGATTAATAATGATCTTTTCATTCTTTAAATTACTATATAATATTTGGAATATCATAATTCTTAATGAAACATTTGTAATAATAACATAATTTAATTTTAATATAATATTATGAATTAACTTAGATGAATTTTATTTACAAAAAATGAATAGATTATATTCATTAATACTTTTTTTTGAGTTCTTCATATTTCTATAAATCCTATTCGCTCACAGAAGGTCTAATGCTTTTCAAAGCTTCTCTTAAATCTTCAACAGCCAATTCCATTTCATTCAAGCCACTCTAAATAGTTCTTTTGGTAGCATAAATAGTAGCTTAACTTACTAATCCATAAAAGTCTGCTCCTGTCATATTATTTGGTATTTCATCAATAATCTCATCAAATTTATCACTTTTAGTGAGGGCTCTTAAAATTTTAACCCTACTTTCTTTATCAGTTTTAATGCCTAGATACATTAATTTATCAAATCTTCCAGGTCTCAACAACGCAGGATCCAATAAATCTGGTCTATTTGTTGCACCAATAATAAATATTCCATCTAACAAATTATCAATTTCAGTTAATAATTAGGCAACAATTCTATCCATAACTTAATTGGAATCACTCTGATTCCCCCTTGCTGGAGCCAAGGCATCCAATTCATCAAAAAATACAAGTGAAGGTGCATTATCCTTAGCTCTTTTGAACAGATCTCTAATATTAGATTCACTCTGACCAATGTATTAGTTCAACATTTCAGGTCCTTTAACAGATATAAAATTCATTTTCATTTCACATGCAATACATTTGGCCAGTAGAGTTTTACCAGTTCCAGGAGGACCAAAAAAGAGGATACCTCTTCTTGGTTTAACAAGTTCATCAAATAATTCAGGATACATTTGTGGTAAGATGATAGTTTTGGCAACTTCTTTGATGGCTCCCTCCATTCCACCGACATCATCCATCTTTGTTTTAGATGAAATTGTTTAAGCTATTACTTTAATTTAATTATTACTTTTTAATTTAGACTCTAATTCCTTTACAAAATTCTATTTACTTTGAATAATCTCCTTTTCAAGTACTCTCCAGGTTGTTTCCCTTAATAATTATGATATTTCATCTTCACTCTATTCTAATTGGTAAAATTCGATTAGCTATTATGATACATTAGTTTATGGGTAAAATCTGATATAGAAATCAACGAATGACTTTACAATAGGGTAATTGCTGAAGTCTTCATTACATAATATTAAGATCACATTTTTTAGTTTCTTTATTTTTTTAATAATCTTAATAATTTCATTGCTGATGTCATCCTTGCTCACATGTTATTTGTTGAGTAACAATACCTGTTCAATTTTTGAAAAATTCCTTAATAAAAGTATGCAAGGAGAATCTTAAATTTTCAATACTAATTTCTCTGTAAATCTTAGAGAACTAATCATACCAAAATCCTTTTCAAAATACAATATCCCATTCTAATTTGCTATTTACTTCAATAACAATCTCTTTCCTAAACTAAACTATATAAAATATTAATCCTTACTTCTTTCGACTTTCAACTCCAATTGATATTGACTTTTGAAGTCTTATGATGTTGTTGATTTACTTTCTGAAATGTTCATATTCTCCTAATTGATATATGATATCTTAGAATTTCAAATCAAGGGTTGATTTGGTTATATGTGAATAAGAATATTCTTCTTGGAATTTGATATTGGCAACTTTAAAATCAAGAATATACCAATCAGTCTATTTATCTGCTTGGACCTTTTCGATATGAATGTAGACATATTGATCTCTTAATAAATTATTCAATTGACAGCAATTGGTAATTTTGGATCTGCACTTAGAGGATATATCGCAATTCTAGAGTCTATATTGAGATAATGCAATACTATAATCTTTAAAGCAGTTGACCATCCTGTAATGTGCCCTTTATTGTTTGTTTTTCTTTGACCATAATTGGAACATGAAACAAAGCCTTTAAAAACTTGGGGGTAATTAATCTTGAATTCTCATTGTTTATCTAGGAACCTCATTGAATAGTCTTACAATTGATAGGGTGACTTCCTTACAGATTGGAATGTTAGGAAAAGGATTATATCTAAAATCTTTATCATCATATTAATAGGGAGCGTGTTGTGCTTTAGCAAAATGGGCATTCAAAGGGTCTTTGAGTTATAGGTACAAATATTAGGAGATGTAAATTTGATTATCTTTGATTTCATCATTACAATTAATCATAATAGTTAAGTGATTGTCTAAATAAATATATCCATATGCTAATATGTTAAAGTGATCCATGACATTCCTTGATGCTTAAAGAATATATTATTCATTAATATTATTAGTATAATTTATTTGTCTGGGGGTTAGAACAAACATTTGATTTTTATTTGTTAATAAAATAAATAACTCAAAATCATCAAAATAATTTCCATTTATTCTTCTCATAGCAAGTTCTCATCATTTGGTCATCTTTTTAAAGACACATGATTTTGTTGGAATAATATATTGGTTGTGTAAGAAAGTGTGCCTGTTGTGGAATGGGATGTTAAAGTTAATAATATAGTTTTGGCTAAAATTCTAAAGAATAATTCAATAAAATACTTATCTAATCTTAATCAAACTCTTCTTCTTCTTCAATTTGAATCATAAATCCTTAATTGACAGTCTAAAATGTTTATTTTTATAATATCTGACCACCAAATACATATATCTAATTAGAATTAAGTATTTAAATGGATGTAGATAAAATAGTATGCAGTGGATACTAAGTATGATTGGTGGTGTTTTCAACTCTCTCCCAACAATCTTATTCTATAAAATACAATTCCAACAATCCTGAACATTATTTTCTTAAGTCTTCTCCCTCTGTATTGGCAATCAACCCACCAAATTTAACAATCAATTTATTATTATATGTACATGATGAATGCAACGTTGACAACTCTGTAAGATGACTTAAAATGATTGATTAAATTTTACTTAATTAATGTAATTTGATTAGTATTTATGTTGTACTTTTCACACTTAGCCAAACAACCTTCTTTATAATTTTAACCTCCTACGATAAATATATCTTTGTCAACTGTACATGATAACGAAAAGTTCTTTCTCAGAGTATACATTCTAGTTCTTTTGATGAAAGTCAATTATGGATGATCATATTAATAAATTGTCTTATTATCATCATCATTTAATCCATTATCATATCCTGAAAAATAATATATTTGACCATCTGAAGCTAAAATAGACCTGCTTCCTTAAGTGATAAGAAAATTGATTTCTAATTCAATTTTTGTGATTTGTGGATTTTGTTGTTTCAAATCTAAATAATATAAGAATTTGGTTCCAGGCTCGAAATAATGCAACCATGATCTATAGAATGAGTATTCTTGAGTACCTTACATTGTATTTCTCATTTCATCAAGTTTCTCAGGAGCATAACTTAAAAACTTTTAGAAATTCTTTATTGATTTTTATTTAGTTTATTGTGCCTACAGAGTCATTTGATTTAGACTCTCTATTTATGAACTTAGCTTGTTTTTTTCATATATAACTAATTATTCTAACTCTTTCTGAATCACTCCAATAAAGTGCAAGGCGACATCATCATCTATTCTGCCATAAAATTTCTGATTGGCTCTTTAATAAATGAGTGATTCCAATCTATTCTTCTGATATTACACTTAGTAATCCAAATCTGTACACATCACTTTCTTTTGAGTATCAATTGAATTGATATCGTTTTAAAATTGTCTAACTTAAGTCAATTAACCTTGGATTTAATCATATAAAGTATGAATACTCTATTTTACTTTATATTCAAATTTATCCCTCAGTCCTTGAATGTATTTGTCAAACAATTTATGAATCTGTTATCTTATAGATTCTATTTCCAAAATGATTTCATCAATATTGCTATTGACTGATGTTATTAATGCATTTGCTGCTCTATTCTCTGCTAATTCCAATTCCTCCTTCACAGTATTCAAATTCTTCTCCACCTATTATTTACATTCCTGTATTGTTATTGTGAACTGCTTATTCTAATAAATTTAATTCTTCTTATGTCGAGTCTCATGATTCACTTTGCAATCGTTACATAATCTTTTATATTTAAAACAATCTGGATGTATACAACTGTCTCTTTAATATATGAATATACATGTAGGTGAAATCTTTCTAATGTAACTTGCACTTATCCTCCATTGATCTCAAAATCAATCAATTACAATATTAACAAAAATAATAAAATTTATAAATTCCATCAATCGTTTACTAAATTTTAAGAGTTATTTTTCTGTTAGCAACAACTCTGCTATAACTTATTTTTGACTGCCAGTTATTTGATGAAAGTGCAATATCCAGGACATTCTAATTCTGATAATTTACTCCAAGTACAAAATGACAAATTGTTTTTATTATTCTTCCTTTCTTTTATTTATTCTAAATTCATGTATTTTTGTGAGTCACCACTACTATGTAATTGTTTATTATTAACTTTAGATTTACTCATACTTGTAGAACAATTTCTAACAAAGAATATTTTCATATATTTATCCTTTGTATCTAATACTTCCTTTTTCTTTCTTGCATCTGCCGATGTTGTAAAATTGAACTAATGTGGGTACTAGTTCAATAACTCTTTCACATCCACCTCCTATATCTAATTCATTTGTCTTAATGATTCTCTTGATACTTTTTAAACATCTTCTTTTGATTATGCCAATATTTTAATTTCAATAAATTTGTTAATTTTGGATGAATTCATTAATGTTATTGGATCTTTTGGAACTTTTTTAAAGAATTCTTTAGGCTGCTTCTTCAATTTCTCCAACTTCTATAATATTCGATCATCCCACATAGTATCTGATAATTATAGTGCTTGCTGCTCACATTTCTCATTTCTTTATAAGTCCTATAAGAATTTTACTTCAGGTTTTTTTCTGTTTCTTCATATATGCTTATTGATCAATACTTTCTAGTTTCTAATGGCTTTTCATTTATTTCATCTTATTTTTACAAGGGCTTTTGTAATCCTGAAAGAATATGTTTGAATTCTATTCTTTGTAACGGAACTGGTATTCTTTAATTCTAATAATACATTACAATAATATTATTATTTTATAATTACAAGCATATTCATATATTCAATTAAATTTATTTTATATAAATTACATTCTTGAAATCATTCAAAGATTATTGTGTATATCTCTTTTTAATTGTTTGTACCTTTTTACAATTAAATAATTTTATGATTTGATTTCTAAATGAAATTGACATTATAACGGTATATATTTACTGAAAAAATATCTTGTCAAAACAGTATTATTGTTCTATCTATTAGGGAAGATTTATAATTAACAAAGTTAGAAAGATTGAGAAGATGACTAAATTCTTCTTGAAAAATACATAATAATAAATATAAATTGCAGTATCAATATTTAATTGTATGTTTGAATTATATTTACTTTTTCTCTTACAAAATATCAAACTATATTAATTATGATTATAAGTATAAATCTATGACTTATTTAGCATGATATTATTGTGTTGCATTAGTTATGAATCTAACATTGCATTTATTCCTTACAAAAATTGAAGTATACGCATAAAAAATAATCACCTATCAGAGATTCTTATGAATGACAATATATTAATCATTTTCATCTTTCGCTGTTGATATTACATATATTTGATATTATTTAAATTTCAAATATAATATCTGCATTATTAAACAGAAAAATAAAACATAAATATATCTTAATATATATATATTTATTTAATAATTAAGTAAAAATTATTCAAAAAATAATAAATTTCAGAATAGATTAGATCTGAAGATCAATATTTAAGCAACCTATAAGCTTAGTTTTTAGAAATTTTAATTTTAGAAATGTTATTCATAGATTAAAAAGATGAACATAAAAATTAAACTGAATTATAGAATGATGTCATTCCAATAAGCTTTATGTATAATTTAAATTAGTTTTCAAAAATATTCATCACAAATAGTGTTAATATTATTTAATTTTATATGATCACATGACTTCTTTGGAAATACAATAAATTTAATTTATATACAATATTTTATTGATTAATGTTCAATATAGTTTTATTAGTGGTTCTAGTGTTGGTGGCTTAAGCTGATAAATTGGTATAAATCCAGGCATTATGGAGACATGGTGCAAGAACACCAATCTTTTGTAATTGGAATTGCGAGTATTTCAGAAATCACACAATGCTTGAAGGCTATTTAACACCTACAGGAATGAGGTAACATTATGTCTTAGGACAATGGATGAGAGAGAGATACATTGTAAAAAACAAGTTATTGAGTGATATCTTCAACGCATAAGAAATTACAATTTATGCCACAGATGTCAATCGTACAATAATGAGTGCGATGAGCAACTTCTAAGGAATGTATTCAAATAATGGTCCCAATGTTCCCAATGTTGAAGAGTCTTTCCTTAAACCCCCTAATCCTGATGCTAAACCAGATGAAGATATTGGAAAATCAGCCCTTAAGTATAATATCTAAGTTCTTCCAATTCACATGAGAGCAGCTATGACTGATATTTAATTAAGAGCCTACGGAGCACCACAATGTGCATAGGCTGCCAAATTTTAGATTGAGAATCAACATACACAACTTGTTAAGAATGTAAGCCAAAAGGCTCACGATACTATAATTTAATTCTGTAATGAAATGAATATAGATCCAAACAATTTTACAATCTTCAACTTATCTGAATACATGGACACATTCTATTCAAGCATCTATAATGATTATCCAATGCCTGAGAAATTATAGAAGGAAACCTATGAAAAAGCAGATGCAGCTTATTCAATGACAATTGCTTTAAAATTATATTAGACATGGAAGTAAATAAATAGATATACTTAGATAAATTACAACTTAATCAGCTCCATTTTTTGATCAATTATTCAATTACACAGAACAGGCCTTAAGCAAAGATGAAAATGTTAAATCATCGAAGTATGTAGTATACTCAGCTCATGATGTCACAGTTTAATTGGTTGCCTCTGCTTTGAATATTACATCAGCTGAATGCATGGCCCAAGTGTATCTTGGTTAGGAAGTACAGAATAAGAATTGTATCTACACATATCCAGGATTCGCTTCAAATATCATTTGGGAATTGTGGTAAGAGGAAACTACAAACGAGCCTTATTTCAAGATCCTCTACAATGGTACAGAGATGAATTTGTGCAATAAGAATTCAACCAAGTGCATGTATAAGGAATTCAAGGAATTGATCTTGGCTCAAAAGGGAGACTTTGAAAAAGATTGTGATATTGAAATAGAACCAATTGTATAATTTTAGCATATCCTTTTAGATTGAATATAGAGTTCCTGTTTGGATGACAACACTTACTATTATATTTATTGTTATCATTGTTGGATTTTGTTTCTATGGCGTTTACTTGTACAAGTAAATAAGATAGGATAAAACTTTATTAAGTTAAAACCTGTGAGATTTGAGATTTAATATATAAAATAATAAAAATGCGAAAATCCAATTTATGAAGCATTTCCATTTTCCCTCTTAAAATTAACAATATATTAAATTATTTATGATAAAAACTACGCAAACTCCACTCAATAAAGAAGAACAAAGGCGTTTAAATTAGATAGTTCAATAATTACTAGACTCTAATGACAGTGTAGAATTTAGACAGCCAGTGGATTACAAAGCATTAAATTTACATGATTATATTACTATTGTCAAAAAGCCAATGGATCTTGGCACTGTCTAAAGAAAATTAAATAGCAACACATACAAAACAGTGGAAGAATGCTTGGATGATATTCAACTTATTTGGGATAATTGCAAATTGTATAATGGTTCATAAAGCGTAAATATTAATAAAAATAATAAAGTGGATTACTAAGATAGCAGAAAAATTAGAGAGATTATTTAAGAAAAATGTTAGAAACTATTTACCTCTTGTGAATCTGCCATAATTTGTGCCTAAATAAAAAGATGCAGGAGCAGATGTATTCTAGGAAGAACCTTAAGATCAAGTGAGTTACAACGACAAAGTTGAGTTTTCTAATAATCTAAAGCAACTCGCTCCTGAATAAATTGGACTTATAGTCCATATGATTTAGAATACTTCTCCAAATGCATTCGTTGAGATAGAAGGAGAGAAATATTAAATCATAGTCGACTACATTGAATACGAAGCATTTCTTAAATGTTAAAAGTAAATACAAACCTGGATTGCCGGAGACACAATCAATAAGAAAGTGAAAATTTGACACATCTATAATTAAATATTTAGAATTAAAATACATTAAAATATAGAATATCATTTCCAAATTATTAGGTTTCATCTCATACCTACGGAATAAATGTGAATAAAACACCTGATGAAAGAACCCACTGAGAACAAAAGAAAGGCTAGGTTATATAAAATCAACGACAATTCAATTTCCAGGAACCTTATATTTCTCATATTGTACAAATGAATTATCATGTATATTTAATTTAGATATTTTTTCATTACCAAAAGACTAGCCAAAATAGCATTTGAATTGGGAATTAAAAATATGTAATTTTTATTTTCTTATTCAATTCTATTACCCATTTGCTATAATTATCTTCAATACTTTCTTTCCTAATTTACTTTAAATCTCCTAATTATTCAGATAAAATATTCAATTTATTTCTTTAACAATTCTTATCGTGTTATAATTCTTCAATCATTAAGCCATCTTCAAATTATTAAATCAAATAATTACATTTAAATCATATTGCACATTATTTTCATTAAGAATTGGTATCACCCTACATTTGGTAGATCTAGTTTAATTACAAAATTAATGAATAGATTTTCACAAATTAATTTTGATCTTTCTTAAACTTTTTTATATAAATCTCTACTTTATTTTCCAATTCATCATTTCTCATTTATACCTTAATCATCTCTTTGATTAAGCAACTCCATATAATTGCACCCCATAAATTTCAAGAAATCTCAAATCTGTTATTAATAAAATTCTATAGCTTGCTTATTCTGTTTATAATATTCTTCCATGATCTCCAAGTGATTACATTAGTAAACAACAATGATAATCGATTATTATAATGCATTCTATTTTACTGAATTAGATCAATCATTTAATTATATTTAATATTAAAAATTTATACTTTTTATTTGAACAATAAGCAAAAATCATCACTTTCTTAACGTAGTAGCCCTAGGGATTATCTATTTTTATAAATCCTTCTCTAACTGTTCCTTTTCTAATTATAATTTTTTTTCCTCTTCTTCCTTTTCTAATTTCAAATTTCTTTATTCTATAAATCCCTTTATTTGTTAATTTAGAATTTCATTTCTTTATTGAATTTGATCAAGAATTTTTGTTTCTTCTTTCAGTTTGTCAATTTCTTTATTATAATTTTCCAATTTTTATTTCTCAATTGGTAATTCTCTTAGTTTAGCTTTTGTAGCAATTAATTGTTCTTTTACCGTTTTTACATCAGCCTCTATAGTCGATAGTTATTGTAAACTTTATTAGAGTTCTTAAATTTCTAATTTTAATTATTCAAACTAGGCTTTATAGCTATTTAATCTTGCAATATCCTCTTTTAGTTAAGTTATATATTATTCATTTTTCAGTTTTTCAGACTTAATAGAATCTAAAAATTATAGCTTAATTCTTAAATCCAATATTTCATCTTTTTATTTTCGAACCTCCAAATCTAGGTCAGATAATTGAGTGAGTTTTTATTCTAAATCATTAATAATTTATTGTTATTTTGCTTTCTGATCTTAATAGTAATTTAATGTAATCATTTATTGTTCTAATTTGTTAATCTAAAGTTGAAAATTATCAGTTTCTCTTTTAAGTTAGCCATCATTAATAGATTTAATTTGTGTTTGTAATTCTTTTTAAGTTTCTTCTAAAATTTCTTTTTATATCAGCATTTTCTGTTTTTATTTCAAAATTTCAACTGTTTATTAAACCTATTTATACTCTAATTATTTATTCTCAAAATTCAAAGTAATTTTATTTAAGATTTCAATTTCGGCTTTAATTTTTTGAAAATTGTCATCCAAATCAGCTTCTTATTAACTTGAAATGGATTTCTCCTCAATTTCTTACATTGTTTTCTTTATTTCATTTAATTTTGATGCAATAATAGGGGGAAGGTCTTTCCTGAAAACTGCCTAATTTTACTTTTAATTTTCTTGACTAGGATCAGAACCATTAGTTTATAAAACTTGAATAGGATTATTTTCTAATTAATTTAAAGCTTTTATTATTTACTCTTTTAAATTACACAGTAACTTGATGGATTATTCTTTTTATTATTATTAATTATTGTTAAAACTAGGACCTTACAAAGGCATAACCAATGCATTTATTTATTATGTTATCAATTATTATAATGATTAGTATTGGGATTAACCGTTGTTTGCATTCAATTATTATTTAACAAAATTTGTTGTTACTGGAGTTTAATTTAAAATAGCCATCTTCATTATAAAATTTTTAGATAATTTTTCTTATGCTTCCCTAGCAGTAATTCTTTAATTTGGATCTGGGTGAAGCATTCTTTTAATTGTGTGCTTCCATTCTTCAGAAATTTGCAATTCATCTATTTTAGTGTATATTTAGTTTTGATCACTAATATGTCTTTTTACTATTTCTTCTAATTCTTAGTTTGTTTTAACTAGGATTATATTAAATAATTGCCATACCATCTAAAAGTTGAGTTCCTTTAATAATTTCATAAAAAACAAAAGCCATTGCCCAAACATCAACAGCCATGGTGTAGTCCGGTTTCCCTTAAATTATTTCGGGTGCTTGAAAAAGCTTTGTGCCAACAGCTAATGTCATACGATTTTAATCAACATTGAAGAACTTAATTAATCCAAAATCAATTAATTTGATCTATTGATCAACCATCATATAATTTTCTGGCTTGATGTCTCTGTGGAAGAGGTTCTATGAGTGTATAAAGACGATTGATGTTAATATCTATTTAAATTGAATTTAGTACTTATAAGCAAATTGATGACTTTTATTAAATTGTCAATTTATTTTTATTCTACTCTATATATTTATAGAGGTCAATTTATCCTAATTCCATTACTAGAACATAAAAGTTATTCCATTGAAAAGCATCATAAATTCTTATAATATTTGAAGGAGCATAATTAGAGCTATTGGGTAATTCATATTTATTCTAATATTCGATGATCTTTTGATAAAACCACATCACATTTTCCTTAATATACGTTGAGAATTTGATGGCAACTTCATTTTAATTTTAACCTTAATTAAATGACTTGGCTCTATAAACAGCACCTTCTTATCCCATTCCTAAGAGTTCTAAAATTTTAAACTATTTAATAGGTTGGTTGGGTGAAGACACATCGATTATGGTGCCTTCTTTTAATTATGGATACTAATTCTATTAAATCATTTGTTTTATTTATTTGTTAAATTTTTTCTATAAAAAATATTTTATTTTCAAAAGTATTTTAATGAAAAAAATAAATAATATTAAAATATGAAGTATTTAATCGGCTCCATTTTGATTTCCTTACTATTGTTTGCTAATAATTTTAATAACAATTAGTTTTAATCTTCTGATTTCTAGAATTGGCAAAAACAATATGGATATTATAATACAGAATTCGAGAGATAATATAGAGAAATGATATACAATCAAAATAAAAAGCTTATATAAGAACACAATAGCAAATAGAACATTACATACAGAATGTAGGAGAACTAATTTATGACTTTAACTCATGAAGAATTTGTAGGAATCTATCTGTAAGAAACAGAGGTGTCTATACCAGAAATAACAATTCTTAATTAAGATTTTTATCAACCATTGTAAGCAGTTGACTGGAGAAATTACACAACGATTTATAATCAAGGTTCTTGTGCTGCAGGATGGGCATTTTCAGTGGGTAGTTCTATTGAAGCCTGGTTTTATATTAGAGGTGGCGGATAGAATATTTCTGTATCAGTTTAGCAACTAATCGACTGTGAGAAAAATTCATCAGGATGTAGTGGAGGCATTAACACATAGGCTATGTTATATGCTTTATAAGATGGACTATACAATTCTCAAAATTATCCTTATGTTGGCACTCAATTAGCTTGCAAAGCAACTAAGAGTGGTACATATTTTATAAATAATTACACATTTGTGGGAGGCTCTACATAATCATTGCAAAGTTCCTTATAAAATTATCCAGCATCTGTTGGTTTGGATGCAACATATTGGTAATTTTATAGTTCTGGATTATTTTCAAATTGCTCTGAAAATGTCGTTAATCACTATGCCCTTGCAATAGGTTTTGATTCAAATAACAATTGGGTTGTTTAAAATTCATTCGGATCAGCTTGGGGTGAGAATGGAATTATCAAACTACCACCTAATAATACATGTGGAATATTAAATCAAGCCTATCAAATATATTGAAAATATTCATCAAAACAAATAAGCCATTATTTTTAAATATTTATAGATTTGAGCAATACTCCATAAATTTTTATTTAACTTATTATTAAATTTAGATTTATTCTTCCCCTTGGTCATTATTGTTTAAATATCTGTAAATCTAATATAGATTTATCAAGAAATTATTTTTTAGAAAGTATTCTCTACAAAAAATTAGGATATACGTGATTAAAGGAAAGGTTCGAGTCCCCAAATTCCCTGATTTTTATTTTGGATATTTTTGCCACATTGCAGAAATATCCATTATGACATTTAAAGCCCATTTTTACACATCAAATTTGAAGCAATGGAAATGAAATGATAATTGGTCATTATAATGCTTATCTAAATGTATTAGTAGTATGGAGATCATAATTGTGGTTATATAATGCTCATATTTGTTTAAAATAATAAAAGATTCTGGAGTATGGATTTTCTTAAGAATTCTCTTTTGGTTTGTATTCCTCCTGAAGTATCAAAAACTATGCATACGATTACTTGAAAATTTAACGAAGTTGATATTAAAAATGGGAAACTCAGGGAGGGAAACAACAATAGGGGAGATACTTTAGTAAATTGGGTTGTGGTTGATTAGTGCAGTAGGATTTGAGAATAAGGGGATATGTAATAGGATAATGGATTTTAGGAAAATATTTTGAAAGGAGGAAATAATATTAGGATTATTGGGACTAATTAAATATATAATATGTTAAATTCGCAAACGTAATCATAATCAGCAATGTCAATCTTGGGATATGTGCCTGCATTGATAGTTTAACATTTGTTGAATCTGAAGATGAACAAACTGCCAAGAAGTTTACCAGAGAAATAAAATATTAAGAGTGTAGTGATGTTTGCAGACATTTCAGGATTCACTAAATTAACAGAGAAATTGAGTCAATTGGGAACAGAGGGGGCTGAGAGAATTGCATTTGCAATAAATAGATATATGGAATTGTTAGTTCAGGGAATAGGAAGAAGCGGAGGAGATATTTTCAAATTTGCAGGGGGTAATAATGTTAATAAGGTCAGATGCAATGATAGTGATTTGGCCTCCACCTCCAGAGGGGAATAATTTTGTTCAATAGATAGAGACATTGCTTAAATAGGCAATCCAATCGGCTCTGCTAATTTAGGAGAAGCTAACCAAGACCACCATAGAGCAAGGCATCCAATTGAGTGTGAAAATAGGTAATAAGTAATGTATTAAAGAATAGGTTTTGGAGTAGGTGAGATGAGTATAATCCATGTGGGTGGTGTCTTTAATAGGATTGAATATTTAGCAACTGGTGATCCTTTGTTGTAAGCCTTTGCATCTGAGCATTGTCTTACAGAGGGTGGCAAAATAATAATCTCATAATAAGTGTATAATTTGGTGAATAACTTTTTCGAGTGCAAAGAAGTGGAACATCATGAAAATCATTTTGAAGTTATTCAGATAAAAAGCACCTAGGCTAAGGTTAAAATGAAAGCAGATGCATTACTAATAAAGAATAACATTACAATAGCCAAGTTCTAAGCAATTAGGAATGAGATCTAATCATACATTCCAGCAGCATTATTGCCATATATAGAAATTAATGAGGAACCATGGAGTGCAGAATTGAGAAGACTTTCAGTGATGTTTGTGAATTTGGGAATCGATTTGAATGATGCTAAATCAGACAAAGGATTGCAATAGATATAGAGAGTGATAATGACAGTCTAGAAATGTATTTACATGCATGAAGGATCATTGAATAAATTGTTAATGGACGATAAGGGCTCCACATTGATAATTGTATTTGGATTGCCTCCATTATCACATCAGAATGATGCAGTGAGAGCAATTTTGACTGCTTAATTGATGAGAGTAGAATTACCAAAAATAAATTGTGGGTGTGCAATAGGCATAGTAACTGGTACTGTATTTGCTGGAGTTGTTGGGACAAGTGGATCAAGACGAGAATATTCTGTTCTGGGAGACTCAGTCAATTTGGCAGCACGATTAATGTAAGCAGCATGTGAAGAAAAAGAAAATAAAATATTAGTTTGTTCGGAAACAGCCAAGAGTGCTGAGCAGAATCTTAGTTTTTAATTTTTGAGATCTCAAATTGTCAAAGGCAAAAATTAACCTGTTGAAATTTATGTCCCATTAATTAATTCTTAACCAAGTTCCACTGGCAATTTCTTCCCCACTTTGAGAACTAATAATTATGCTTTTGGTTTTAAGAGGAAGACAGAGTTTGCTAATCAATAGATTTTCGGTAGAGAGGAACCTTATAAGAAAATACTAAATTAAGTTGATAAAATTATGAGAGGAAGTGACAAAAAAGGTTTATTAATGTTATACTATTTTTAGGATTATTTATTATTAAGGGTTCTTTTGGAGTTGGTAAATCTATGTTAGTTAAGAAAGTACTTCATAGAGTTTAGGAGAAATTGAATAGTAATTAATATAATCCTTGGAAATACGGAGAGATGCCACAGATTCTTACTTCGTAATTGAATCCTGTAACTAGGGCATATAAATTGAATGGTATTGAATTTAATCTGATTAGTGAGGACTGCGCTAGATTTTGAAATAAATTTTTATTCTTTATTCCAAAAGATTGGAACGCGAACCAGATTTATCCTTATTCCAATTGATGGTAGATGAATAATTGTACTCTCAAAATACAATCAATCTCATGAAAGAGATATTAGATTTGAAATGTATTTCTAGAGTTGAGAATTTCCCTCCTAAAGGAAATGATGATGAGAATCAACAAGAATTAAAGAAAATTGTAATTTTTGCATTCATATTATAAGACTCTATAATTCCTTAGTAACTTTTTTGAATAAGTGCCTGAAAAATATTAAAATCTTTACGTTGGTAGATCTCCTGAAGAATTAGGATGGGATATTAAGCAATCCAATATCAGATAAGTCATCAAATATTCAATTAAATACAGTAATATCATATGTCCTGTAATTCTTTGTTTGGATGACATGCAAAATTATGATAATCTCACCTTCAAAATCATTAGTTTGATGATCAAAGCATATGATCGAATCTAAGTGTTGGGATTGTACCGTGATAACTTTCATGAAATGACACTACAAGTGAAAACAGCTGAGAAAAAGAAGTCATAAGAAGAAATAGCCATGGATGGGATAAGCAGATTGGAAGATGCCATTGAATAGAATTTCTACAGTATTATTCAGTTGAAGGGAATTGAGAGAAAGGGAAAAGACGACGAATTCGCTAAAATGATTAGATATTCATTCAATATATCTAAGTTGGATATTGAGAATTTGAAGCCTACTTAGGAAGAAATAAGAAAGAGAGAACCATCAGTAACAAATGATGTGTGTGTACAAGAGACATTAAATAAGGAGATGAATCATTAATTCTTATTCTTTTAAAATAAGTAATAGTTAATAGGACAAGATATTGAATTACTCCTACTATCATATATTTATTTAAAAACTTCTGGTGTTCCTCTGATGGTATTAAACTTTGTGTAAAACCTGATCGATCAAGGATACATTAAGATGGGAAATAAAAGTGCAACAATAACAAAGGAATTAATTAATTTAATCAATTACGAGGAGAGTATTATCATTGATGCTCCATGTGATCGCATAGCCGTCAATGGTCCAATCATAGACAAGTAATAGATAATATATATAATTAAGGTTGCCTTGTTTGGAGCAATTGATCTTAAAAGTGGCAAGTATAATTGGCGATATTTTTGATATTCAAATGTTGAGTAGAATAAATCCATTTAAGGCAGCAGTTAATAATCGATTGCAAAAAATGATGGATGAATTAGAACAGAAAGATTTTATTGAGACTATGGAAGTTTAGGAATAAAACATCTATTATAGATTTACATGTCCATTTATGAGGGATTGTTTATATCAAAGAATCACCTTTAAATAGCGTAGACAATTACACAAAGCAGCTGCAGAGGCTATTTAATTATTACCTTTAGCATTCGAAATAGATGAAAGAATAGAGAGCAAGAAGTTGCAATTTCATTGGGTGATGGCTGAACAAAATAATCAAGTAGTTTAGCAATCTACCCAAAATTTCAAGGCCAGATAATCCAGTGGTTCAGTTAGGAACTTGGTTTTGAGAGCTACTTTCGGGATAGGGATGTAAAAGCAAAAGTAAGAGGACAATAGCAATAATCAAGTAGCTTAGGTCAATTAATATAAATTTGAAAATCTATCCTCAAAGGCTATGAGATCAATTATATTAAAATAGATCTCAAATAAGTTAACCAAGAATAATAACAACATAAATACCATTTTGAAGGAGGGCATATTGGAGAAGAAATCGAAATAGAATGTATCGTGGGCTCCTCGATATTGGGTGTTGGATGGAAAGGAGATGAGGTGTTATTATACTAAGTAAGATATGTTAAAAAAGGAATTGCCTCTTTGCACAATTCCACTGAAGGGAATATATTCAGTGATTCCATTGGATGTCAGGGAGCAGGGAGATAACAACTTCCCATTATCTATAAGTTCCACTTTGTGGTATAAGAAAAACAAGGAGATGGGAGAGAGGAGATTTCTATTGAATAGTAAGAATGTGGAGGATTTGGAAATGTGGATAATCTATCTGGAATTTGCTAAGGCCAAAGCAATTTATGATGATTTCACAAATAACTATGGCAAGATCAGTTTTCCTTTAGGCAACAATAATGATTATTATGATCCTGAGTTCAAATACGATGTGAATATCGAAGTATGAATTTGTATTTAAAATTAAAGAAGTAGAAATTGTCTTTGGGTCTGCAATATGATAAGAGTTAATAAGCTAAAATGAGCAAGAACTCTGTACTCTCAAGGAATTCAAGAGCCTCTCGGATGACAATAGCAACTAAGCAATTTAAATTTATGGAGAAAGCATCCTAAGAAGATAATATACTTCAAACTTCTCAAATTATTGATAGTTAATTGTTGAAAGACAGGATCAATTGTTTTTTGTAGAAAAGGTATGATATTAATGTTGATTTAAGTATGCTTCTATTGTTTTCTCATTTATTTGATATGTCATTGCAGAAGCAGGATGATTACAACCTGCTCGGCCAACCCAATATGGTAATGAAGAAGATGACCAACATTTTCAAGATAGATAAATAGTTGACAACTGAGAATAAAAAATAATCCAATGCATTCATCAACAATTAATCATAGTCTTAATCAATATCGATAACTAATTCAAATGATAACAATCCTAATGTGATATAATAGTCATAGCAGTTGCAATAACGGAAAGCCATAACATTGGATGGCAATCCCTTGGTGGCTAAGAAGATTGACACTAGTATAGATGAGGATTCAGTGTGCAGCAGTAATGAAGGTGGAGAAGGACTCTTGTAGACAAAGACTTTATAATAGATAATGGAAGAGGAATATGATAATGAAATGAGTGGTATATTAATTTGATTGATATTTGTAGAGAGTACAAATCAACAACAATAATAATTGAAACAATAGAGAAATTAAAAATATTTCGAAGAAATGCGAATGAAATAAAGTTCAAAATTTTAGTAGGAAGATAGAAAGCGATCTGATAGTCAGGAAAGTTTCGAATAAAATATTGCCATTTCAAGAAGACATACAGAGAGATAGGATTAGTTGGCTAAGTAAATGAATTATTTTAAACTACCAAACTAATAATAAGAGGTTAGAAACATCACCGAATTTAAATTAGATATGGCTGTCTAAGTTGATTTACAAAAAGTGAATAATTCAATTAGTAAATCCATAAGTAAATCATCCATTGATCCAAAGTCTGAACTCTCGTATCAACAAAATGACAACCAAGAATTCTTAAAATTATTTGAAAATAGCACCAATCAAGGATAATCATAATAGAACAATCAATTCAGTAACAAAATTCTAGATGACAACAAGAGAGACACCATTTAAACGCACATTTCATCTTCCAATTTCTTATCTACTCAATATCCATTTTTACATCACCAATCGACACTACTCTCCTCTAATACTAATTAAAAATAAAGATAGCCTCAATAGTATGCAAGTAGATAAAGTCAAATATCTCAAAAAACTATTGCCAATTCAATCTCATCATAATAACATCAATATGGAACTGCTTTAAATACTTGTAAATCTTTAAGTGGAGATATCTTCACCCTAAGACCAGGCTATAGAGTAGTTGTCACAAGGATAGATCAATAGAAGAAGTTGATTTATTGTAATTATTAGAATATGCCAGGATTATTTTATTTGAGAGATATAGCTGTCATTGAAGGTATCAATTCATCTCATTTATTTATAGATAATCAAGAGGAATCGTAGATTAAAATGAAATCCAGAACACCCACTATGTTTGAAGTCAAATACAAAGAATTATTGAATGATAGATTCAACACAAGAAGCAAATCTCCAAATTATCGTTCTGCTTAATGTAAAACTCCTCCCAAGAAACCATTTATGAGATTTTGAATTTTACTATATTCTTATATTAATAGATACATCTTAACAGAATATTAATTAAAAATTCAAATTTATGATCCCATATCCTCCCATTATTCAACCAACACTAAGGTCAGCAAATCAAAGCAGTGGATTCAAAGACTCTGAAGACAAATTTCAACATTCCACACCTAAATACGTGTTAAAAGTTCCGATCCCATCACTAGCCACATTACAATAAGCACCTTAATCAGATAACAAAAGTAAATCAGGACATAAGGAGAATAATTTCAGTGCTATGACATTCGATTAGAAGTATTAATTGACAATTCAAAAAGAAAATGGAATCCAGATAGCCAAGGCTCTGATAATAAATGCGTGTTATCTTAATCAGCCAAGAAAGTCAACACTGAAAATGATGATGGCTCAAGTATTGTAGAGAAGTCTTTTACAGAAGCAGCCTAAAAGATATTGAAGATTAAAAATCTCGAATTGGAAAACAAAGTTTCATTGCTTGTTATTGAAAATGAGCGTCTTACAACATTTCTAAACGATTAATTTCAAGAAAATGAAAAATTAACTAACGACCTTCAAAACAATCAAGCAAGTCTCTAGGATTTGTCTAAACACTATGAAGATAAATTGAATATAGTCTTATTGGAAAATGAGAAGATTGTAGCTATAAATCAAACTTTGACTATGAAAAATGAATAGATGCAAAATCAAATAAAAAGATTGTAGAGTGAGAGAGATGAGGAAATCAATAAAACTAGGAAAGAATGGGCAGGGAAATACCAATAATAAATTAATTAAATTGATGAAATGAGAAAAAGTGAAATACATTAAGTAGATAATAGAATTGATAAGTTACAATTTGAAAAATCAGAATTACAAGCATTAATTTAAGAGTAACAATAAAAATTGATGGAATTCTAAATTGAACTCAAAGTCAGAGATCAGACCTTGATTGATTATGAAAATGTTAAAGCCGATTTGGCATCTAAAATCCATAGAATTGAAATGATGAGTTAAACCATATTGGCTTAAGAGAAGAGAATATATGATTTAGAAGCTAGATTAGATATAATGGTGGCAGATAATAAATAATTGCATGATGTTAATGAATAATTAAATTAAACATAAAGAATTTTATAAGGAACAATGGAAGATAGATAGATTGAATTTGATAGAGAATAACATAAATTAAAAGATTTCTATGAATTAGAATTAAGAAATTTGAGCAATAAAAATAAATAATAAACTGAGGATATCAAACTTAAACATCAAGAATAATTGTAGGCATAAAGAGTATAAATAGAAAATGAGTTGATTAAAGAACTAGAATAATACAAGATGGAATTGGAGACTAAACAAAATGAATTAAATAATAACTTATTGATTTGGTAGGAAAAGGAGAAAAATATCACTTAGGAGAATAGGAAAGAACTAGAGATAAAAGATCAAATGATATAAACATTGAAATTCTCGAATTAAAGTTTATAAGATTAGATGAATCAATTATAAGCATTAATCAGCAAGTAAGATATTCATATTTATAAGAATGCAAGAAGACTTCGATAGTCAATATAGTTAGAAAGAGACAGAGTGCGTTAAGATGGCTAAGAACATTCATCTTAAGGAGTAGGCATTGAAATAGATGAGTTTAAGATTGGATGAAATTTGTAAGTAATTGAAGATCTTGGAAGAATAGAGAGATGAATTGAGTTAAGAAATGAAGGATAAGAATAATAAGGTCAAGGATCTTGAAATGAAATTAGATATTGTTGTCAAAGATAATGATACAATGGAAAATCAATTGAAGAATAATCAAACTTAGGTAAGAGTTCTAAATTGATTTAGTTATAATTAATGGAACAGAGATATGCCAATTTAGAGTAGACCAGTGAATAGAAAATAGAAGATATGAAGATATAATATTCATTAGAAGTTTAAGCATAGATTGAGCAATGCATCACTTAATATTAATAAACTATTAAGTATGAGTAGGATCACTCTGAATAATTAATGAAGAATTTAAAGAAATAGTAAGAAAAAGCTAAGCATTTTGAATTGTTGAGTGAGTAATAATTAAATGATATGGAGAAATTGAATAAAAGAATAGAAGAATTGATAGATGTTTGTGAATAGAATGGGTCCAAAATGATGACACTAGAGAATCTACTTAAAGAAAGGGATAATGACTATGATGTCTTAAATCAAAAGTTTTAGTCAGTAGCAGATAATTATGAATTGTAATTAATAAAAATAATTCTTAGATAAATAGATGTTTTGAACAGATAAATGTATGATATGGGTATCCAAAATGAGGATTTGGCTTCAAATTTGAATTAAACATAAGAAACATTTATAAGTATGATAGACTATTAACTTTTAGAGTAAGAAGAATAGAGAAAGAAAATCATGAATGATTTGGCAGAAGTTACAAAATAGAAGATCGATTAAGATTAGTTAATAAAGAAGATGAGAATTCAAGTCTAGGCATTAGATGAAGAGAACAGAAAGAATTCGGAAGATTCTATAAAATTTAAGAATTAGGTTTATTAGTTATAGTAGGAAATTGAAGAGATTACTCGAAGTATGCAATTGAATTTTGCAGAGAAGGAGTAGGAATTACAAAATAAATATGAAAATACAATCATGGATTTAAACTAATAGTTGAATACCTTAACAATGAGATTCAATGATTTAGTTAGAAAGGAGAAAGACAATAGATTTAGATTAAAATTATTGAAAAGCAATCCTTAGATGAAATTACCATCAGAATTAGAAGACGAGAATTGCTATGAGACAATGAAGAGGAAGATGGAAGATCAATCACAATATCTTTAGAGATTAATTTTGGAAAATGACGAATTAAAACAATAACAATATTCTCACATTAGTAAGGGCTCATTAAATGATTAATAAAAGTAGAAATCGTAAAAATAAAGCATGAATATCATCAAGGACTACACTACTTAAGATTCAGATCGTACTATTCGATAAAATGAATATCAAAAGACCATGAATCCTTTTAAATAATAGCCAGTAAAAGTAGTGCCTGTATTATATTTTAACTATTATCAAGGCAATGAACAATTCTCAGAATATTCTTGATTAAAGGTACGGTAGTAACAGGCCTATTGAGAGAGAAGTCTACCTAGGCTAAACACAAAATACTAGAACGGAGCCCCATTTATATAGGAAATAATCATTATAACGATTTTGAATAAGAATATAATAAATAATTTAAAGAACCTCTTTTTTTTGGTAAATATGTGGTTTAGTATTGTAAAGTATATAAAATTCATAGTCATTCAACTCTTTCATTTAATTGAAATCGCACTTTCTTATGCCCTTCATATAATTTAAAGGTGTAATCCGAAGCAATTTCATAATAGCTTTTTGTTGGAGAAAGACTCTTGGTTGATTGTTCAATCAAATCAAAGACAGTTCTTTTATTTGAATTCTGTTCATTTTAAAGGATATTAGAAGATTGAACTACTTAAATTGGTTATTATGAGGAATTGGACTTAATCTATTTATTGTCATCCTTCGACGCATTTGATTCTTAAATAAGTTGAAATGGGATTAGTTTGAGAGTCTTCAGATTTTTCCTCTAATTGATTTCAGTTTTAGTTTTTGGGGAAAACGTAGCAAGTCCTAAGTATTTATGATTAAGAGTTGGGCCATCTTCCTCATCTTATAAGACATTTAAGTTCGAATCCATAGAACAGTAGATCTGCGATATATTGTTTTATTATTTATAATCAAATGATATTCAACGAATATAAATCTGGTGTTTGTAATTTTAGTCAAATTCATTGAATATTAATTTAGATTTTCTATAATATAACAAAGAAATTCGAATAATGATAATTGAATAAAATAATATTTATTAATTAATTAATACAAATGGTTGATGCTAAACAATTGATACCCATGAAGCGATTTTTGGAGACCTAGCAAGATAAAATCAAATTATTTTCTCTTGATTAACCTGAACAAATTCATATGTAAAATTTAAATCACTATTCAAGTTACCATAATATAGGTCGTGTAACAAAGATTGAAACAAAATCCATATAAGAATAAAAGTCAAACACTTCGATAGGATTCTTCGCAGTTTATGGTATAATGTAACTAAAGAATTGGTCATATTTGCTATTGGTTACAGAGGCCAATATGGTTGGATAAATAGTGCAAAGAACAATATTATAAGTAGAGTAGATAAGTTTCTTGCCCTTGGTTTCCAATGGAAGATTAAATGAGTAATTCTATTAATCTTAGCTTTTTAGTATTCACGCAGATGATTAGGCTTATTGCAAAATGCTAAAGGAAGTGTTTTCCACAAGAACATTATATTTCAGCTATGAGTATGATTTGTCTAATCCCTTCGATAAAGTAATGGGGAATAATTCTCAATTTGGTACTCAACAAAAGACCAGCGAAGGACTTCATTATTATAAGATTCCAAATCATCGATTTGTATACAATTGGGAACATATCAAATTCTTAAATCAATTTCAAAGTACAAATCTACCAGCCTTGCAATATTGGTAAACCATATTCATAAGTGGATGTGTTATGATAAGATATTGTAAACTGAATCAACAGTCTGATTGCTTTTTAATTTTGGTGAGTAGAAGAGAAACTCTAAGATCAGGAAGAAGATTTGTATAAAGAGGATGTGATTAAGATGGAAATTGTACCAATTTTGCCGAAACTGAATAAATATTAATACTCAATAGATAGGAATCAAGAGATATTTACTCATTTGTTTAGACTAGAGGATCTATGCCATTTAATTGGTAACAATAACCAACATTGAAATGGGCACCTAAAGCATCAATCATAGGAGATAGAAGTTACAACTCTGAATTGTGCAAAAAACACTTTGAAAAATGTGCCGAATCCTATTAGCAATTATAAATAATTCTTAATTTAATTGATAAAAAAGGCACATAAAAAATGTTAGGAGAATATTTTACCAGTATGATTAGTAGTGTTAAAACAGTAAAAACGAAGTATGTTTGGTTTGATTTTCATCATGAATGTAGAAATATGAAGTATGAGAATCTCTCTAAATTATTAAATGAAATTAAGGAAGATCTCAAAAAATCTGGATATTTTCATGCTGAAATTGACAAAAACAATTATAACCATTTATCTAACATACATTAATAATAGTCAGGAGTTGTAAGAACTAATTGCATGGATTGTTTAGATAGAACTAACGTGGTTCAATCAGTTGTCAGTAGAAATTTCTTATTGCAAGTTTTGAATTAATCAAACATCATTCATACCTTAACTGGTGAAGCATTACAAGTATTACCTAATGATCTTGAACAGATATTTAGAGATCAATGGACTAAGAATGCAGACATAATGAGTGTCTTGTATTCAGGAACTGGAGCATTGAAGACTGATTTTACCAGAACTGGTAAAAGAACCTTCTGGGGTTCATTATAGGATGGCAAGAATTCATTACATAGATATTACATCAATAATTTTGTTGACGCTCACAATTAAGTAATATAATCATATAATTATTAGAATTGCATTGATTTGGCATTAGGAAAATTAGAAGCAGATAAAGTTAACTATAAGAAACCTAAATTCAATGGTGTCTTGCAGCTATTCATTTTTGTAATTAGTTATTAATTATCTATAGATCATTATCCTGATGTATATCATGACAAGCTTCTTACCTGGGTTAGTTCTAAATGAATAATCTGCATATGGAAATTCTTGTTTAATGCAACTATTTATTTTTGGAATAAGTCTGTTCATTACAAGTAAGATTTTACTGAAAACCCATTATTTGTTTATATCCAAACCAATAAGAGATCAAAATTGATTATCTAATATATAAGCATATATCAACAACATCATCATGCTTTACAAGGCATATCTAATCTCTGATAATAGGCATTCAATGACCCAACATAAGTGAATAAGATTGCAATCACTACGCTAATATGCCAAATTTGATGACTCTATCCACAATTATCGAATTTCCCTGGATTTTTCTTTTCAGGAAATCTTTTCAATACAAATATGAGATGGCCATAGCAGCATAATAAGGCAATTATGATTAATAACTATATTCTTCCAAACAAGTATCACCGATTGCAAAATGAATGAGTGGAATGGCACTCGTAAATCCAAGTCCTGCAAATAATTTGTTTTTTAAGGATCTCCATTCTGTAGTATAGAAGAAATCAAACAGACAAAAGCTAAAGAGAATGATGCCAAAAAAGCCTTATAAACTGGCATATATGATTGCATATGTTAGATTGCATTAGAATCCATAAATAATGGAGCAAATGTCGAACCTGAAACAAGAAAACATATGCCAGCATAATCTAATCTAATGAGTACTTTGTTCACATTTTCCGAGAGACAGTAAAAATGATGATAAGTTGTACTACATCCTAAAAATATGATGGCTGATAATAGAAATGCAATCAAGGCCATCTGGATATCATTTTATGAAATTTCTCTTAATCTATGGTTTGTCTTCCAGTGAGATGTTGAAATTCTAAATATAAATTAATCCAGACAAAATCTTTGGATTCAACAATTTCTGTGGCTTTTTATTTATATTCTTGAATGATTTCTGAAATATTATAATTCCATTTCAGTTTTTCCCAATCGAAGGTTTCTTCAATATTTTGTTGGATGAGAATTCATAATCGTATTAGTACTTCATTAATATACTTGTTAACAGTGTTAATCTTTTCATGCAGTTGTTGCTACATCAATTAAACATCGTCCTAATTATTGTTAGATTTTTTATTCAAGAGTGAAAGCATGTTCATAAATGTTGTGTAATAATTCTACATAAATGGTTGTTTCATGTACCATTGAAAGTCTGATTGGCTCTATGACGAAAGAGTTCCTCATAATTTAGCCATAGATAGAATATTAGCGAGACAATGATGATACAAAAAAGAAATATACAATTTCTATTATAGCACCTATTAGATATGTCCAAATATTGACCAATTCATTATGCCACATGAACTTGCTCTTTATAACGTCCTTCTTGTTTTTGAAGTTTATTCTGTAGCCATGTTTAATAGATTGATCTTATAAGTAACCGGGAGCCTTGAAAATGCGACCACTATTTTAGATCTGAAATAAAATACATAATTCTGTCATGGATTATATTCTCTTTAATCTCCTTCGTCTCTTGCTTTTTTTCTGTGGGAATTCTTTGTGTTATATTGCTTTGACTCATTATAATTATTAGATGTTATTTTATAAATATCTTGATCAAAAAATTAATGAGAATAATTGAGAAATCTCATATATAATTTGTAATTTGGATTTTAATCACCATTTGAAGATGAAGTTAGAGCATTATGTTAATTTATTTAATAGCATGACGAAATTTATGAGTATTTATAATTATTAAATCAATACTCTAATATTGAAAGTGCTATGACGTAATCGTATACAGTATTTAATCAAAACTACTTAACTATTGAAATATTAATATACATATGGAAAAGCAATTATTAGCTTTACTCACAGTGACTCTGTTGACATCAGCAGCCTATTTCATGAATGGCAAAGACGAAAGTCTTACACTTGAAGGACAATTCTCATCCTGGAAATAATTACATGGAAAGAGATACTCTGACTTTGAAGAAGTTCATAGATTCTCAGTGTTTGCCTAAAATTTAGCTGTCGTTATGGAACATAACTCCAAATTTGAACTTGGATAAGAAACATTCACATTAGGAATGAACTAATATGCTGATCTTACCCCTGAAGAATTCCAAGCCTCATTCCTTACTCTTAAAACAAAAGTCTAAGACAGAAAGAATGTCAAGAGTTATTCCGGATTAAGTTTCCCAGATACAGTTGATTGGAAGGATGGTTTGACAGTCAAGAATCAAGGTAGCTGTGGTTCATGCTGGGCCTTCGCAGCTGCTGCCGCTATTGAAGCTGGTTTCCAACACCACAAAAAGAATAAGGTTAACATTTCTGAATAAGAATTTGTTGATTGCACCACAGAAAAACTCGGATATGAAAGTCAAGGATGTAATGGTGGTTGGATGGATGATGCCTTCGATTACACTGTTAACTATGGTGTTACCACAGAAGAAGAATATCCATACAAGGGAGTCGATTAACCATGCCCATCAGGATTCAAAAAAAAGCACTTCATTTCATCATTTGTTGATGTTGAACCATTGAGCTCAGATGCTCTTCATGAGGCAATTGCCAAGACTCCAGTCGCGTAATATCTATATTCTATATTTTTAGTGTTGCTATCAAAGCCGACGGTATCTTATTCCAACTCTACAGCGGTGGTGTCTATTCCAGATCTTGCACAGCCAAGACTATTGATGACTTGAACCACGGTGTTTTGGCTGTTGGTTATGCCAAAGATTCTTATACTATCAAGAACTCTTGGGGAGCCAGTTGGGGAGAAAAGGGTTACATGAGATTAGGTCTTGTTGCCGCCAAAGAAGGACAATGTGGTATTCATTGGGTTCCATCATATCCAGTCCTTTGAGATTATTCATAATACATAATACACACTCAAAATATTTAGTTTAATTTATATTCAAATGCCACCTAAAAACAAAGGATTAAGCGCAAACTAAAAAAGGGATAGAATTATGAAGATCTTCACAGAACGCAAAGAAGTTTTTAGTTATCCCTAACTAGAAAAAGAAGCTGATAAAGTAGGCATCAGAAGGGATAATCTCAAAGAAATATTAGAAAGTCTTTTATCAGACAATCTTGTTGAAACTGAAAATCTAGGTACTAGTAAATGCTATTGGTCATTGCCAAGCCAAGCATTGATACGCCTCTAATAAAAATGCGCTGAATACACAGAAAAAATCGATTAGGAAAGACAAAAGGAAATTGAAATTGAAGCACAATTTGAGTCCATGAAAGAAGGCAGAGAAAATTGTTAATAAAGAACTGATCTTGAAAATGAAATCAATTAATATCGATAACAGTATTAGGTTCTCCTTAAGAATTTTGAACTTAAACAAAAAAATGATCCTGAAAGACTCTAAAAGCTAAGTAATCTATTTTCCATATAATTAACTTTAGAAAAGGATACTGTCAATTTAAGATACGATGCCAATTCATGGACAGATGATATCATTTAGTTATCATTCTATCTTAAGTCCCAAGCAGGAATGAGTTCAGAATAATTAGACCAATTGGGAATACCTGCTGATATTGATAACATTTGAATGTATTTTGTTATTTTTATGAATTTCTATAAAAATGAGATTGATTTTCTAACAGAAAGCCATTATTTCAATTATAAGAATGTAAATTCATATGCTTAATTTTTTTTTATAATTTATGTATAAATTTTGTTCTAGTTCAGATAATAAATCATCAGAAAGTAAAAATGTTAATTAAGTTCTTGCTACTCAAAAAGAGAATTTGGATACCAATTTAGATAATCTTTTTACTTTACTTGATATCATCGATGATTAGTTGGATGCCAATTTTATATAAAAACAACAGCAGAATCAAGAAAGTGCACAAAGTCAAGCAAATTAAAATGAATTATAATACTAGCAAGAATTGGAAGGAATTAATACAAAATTATAAAGAATTATATTGGACTTAAAGGCAGCAGAATAAAACTAGATTTTTGAAAAGCAAGAAGAAATGGTCAAAAAATTTGAAGAATTAAAGAAGTTTGCAAAAGAACAATATTTAAAAATATTGCTAAAAACCCCCAAAATTTTGAAAGACAATAATTTTGTGTTAACAAGGGAAATTCTTGAGAAGGTACCTACAGATACCTTAATTGATTTGCAAGAGCAGTTAATTTAACTTGAGAAATGGTAAGAAATTGTTAATTTTTATCAATCTAATTAAATAATGTGAATGTAGATATATAAATTTATATAGTATTCATGATTTAGCCATTGATATTTATTTTTGTAACGATCCCTGGCTTCATATTTCTACTTTCTTTGCCTAAAGAAAAACATGGTTTAGTAAACCAATTAGATTTTATTTACACTCCAATTGATCCCCTTAAATTAAATAATTGAGAATACTTTGGATAATAAGTTTAATTCCTCTCAATACTCTTAAATTGTTTATTTTTCTCTCCTTAAGTAAAATCGACTCTGGGCTAGCTTTAGTGAGTAATATCCACTGATTTTTTTTCTCATAAGCTCAAGGACCAATTAAATCAGGATTAAACCTTGAAATGATTTAGAAATAGGTCTTCTGGGAACTATTGTATATTAAGGTCCTTTTGATTCAATAAAATTGTCATATTGATCAGGATCAGAAACTTTATTTTTATAATCTATTTTGAAACATTAAGCAAGCGCAATTTTAATGATAGTTGAATTCATTTTTCTAAAGTCATTGGCTTTTGAGGTTCAAACTATAATTTTTTTTTGTTATATGTCTACAAATCTATCCTGTCATGTGTAGTAATCATACTATGTTGATAAAATTATAACCTATCTCTTGCTTTCATTATTCCATTTATATCATTTTTGGATTTGAGATCAAAAATTTTTAAATTTTCAAAGCGTTCAAATAAACTATTGTATCGCAATATTCATCATTTCTATTATTAAGAACCTATTATTACTGAAGTTTTTGAATGTATGAATATTTACCCGAAAGTTAAGAATGAAATTCCTATTTTTTTTTAAATGAATCAATTTGAAAACAGTAGCTTGATAAATAATTCTTTTATGAAATATTACTATTCAATAATAAAATGAAGGTCAGATTATGTTAAGGAAACAAATATATCAATTGTTTCCTTTATAATCTACTTCTTCCTTAAGATAATTAAGCTAGAAATATTAATCTAAGTATATTGATAATTAATCAGGCTTGTTGCAAAATTAAGAGTAGATTTTATATTTATAATTTATATATTGAAATTACTTAAAAGAATCTTTAAATCTTTATTTGGTGATATTTAATTGTATAAATTCAATATTGATTTACACAATTCATCAATCCTAAAGATTCTTACGAATTTTTCTCAGAAATTCATTTAGATTTTTTTTGTCTCTAAAGTAATCAATTAAGGCTTTAACTTGGTTTACAGGCATTATTGCTTAAGCTAGTTGATTTTATAATAATAAAATTTGCACCTAGGATTCCAATAATTTAACTTTGTCATCTTAAGATTTTTTTTATAAATCTTCTAATTCTGTCTTTAAACTATAATTTTATTTTAAAATATCGATTTGACTTTTCAAATCTGCATTATCTTTATTTAATTCAGTTATTTGATTTTTGTTCTCTATTATTTGAATATTTAACATCTCTGCAATTTTTTCAAGCTTTTAATCCTAACTTTATTATTACACTTAAATTTTCTCTTAATCAGTATTAATTTTATTTTTGTATTCCTTCCATTAATCAATAATAGTGGTAAAATCAATTGACATATTCTTATATTCCTACTCTCTTTTAATATAAGATTCATTTTACTGTAATTAATTTTAACGTAGAGTATTTATTTAATCTTAAAGATTTTGTTTTACTTCACCAAGTTAAGTTTAAAATGTTTTTACTGATAAAGAATTTTAAACTGAGATTTCCTTTTTTAATACTTCATTTGTTTCTTCTAATTTGCTTATTTTTTGGTTTTATTATTTTAAACACTTGTAAATTCGTTCTTCTAAATCGGAAACTTTTTTCTCATATTATGACAATCTAGTGTCAATATTTTTTAATTTCTCATCAAAGATATTTTTCTAATCACTATTATTTTTGGTTATTTATTATTGAAAAGTGTTAAGATTCAAGTTAAATTTCTTTGACTCATCTTAATTTTTTTATTATTCCTGAATTTACTTGTCTTTCTCCACTTATTATTGCTAAATTATACATATTATATTTTAGTTTAAACTTTCAATTTGACTCTATATTTCTTTTAGTTTACTTGTTTGGGACATTTGGTAGAGATAATTATTATTCTAAATTATTGTTAATTTGTAAAATTTATTACTTCGTCTTTCTCCACTTATTATTGCTAAATTATACATATTATATTTTAGTTTAAACTTTCAATTTGACTCTATATTTCTTTTAGTTTACTTTCTGCTACACTTGGCAGAGATAATTATTATTCTA